GAAAGATTGGGTTTGGTGTCATTCTACCTCCAGATGGAGGAAAAGCTCGAGGGCTGGGAAGAGAGAATCGGAGACGACTTCCAGCGCGTCTTGATAGGTGATACCGAATACGAGGTATGGAGTTGCTGTGCTTCCTTCACAGGTGCTAACAAAGCGGTCTCCTGTAGTCGGTTCTATGGCGGAACGGAATTGAGTCGTTGTCCCCAGAGTACATCTGTGATGCATTCGACTCTGCAGGAGAAACAGCCCTAGCTTTGAAGAAGCAATACGGCATCGTCTCCGACCGACCTGTTTCATGCAAGCTAGGAGCCTTGGACTTGCTCAACGACGCCCGATTCAGCCTACCCATTGACATATTCGTGAAACGGTGTCAACAGGCCAAAAAGTCCTGGTTCCGTTTCCTTGTCGACCAGCCAAATCCGTGGCAAACTTCTAGTCGCGCCCACCACGGCGTTGACCTCCTGTATCTGTTCAACACGTACGGCTTGTCTCACAATGAGCCTGCGCAACAGATCGCGCGCTCCATGCAGGAGAAGTGGGTCAGTTTTGTTCGTGGTAAAGACCCTTGGGAGCCTGGAGGGGTATTTGCTTTTGGGCCATTTGGAGAAAGTCAACTTCTGAGTCCTCAAGGCCTCAATGCGCGGAGGAGACAGCAACATGTGGCAGCTCTGGCCGCTCTTGGGTCGCAAAAGGTGAACGAGATTGTCGCAAAGTTGGCGACTGGGAAGTCGAGTCTATTAAATTAACATGAATCCATGGGCGTTGTTATCTTATCACCTCCGTACAGCGGCAGCATAGCGTTAAGCGTACAGAGTTAAAGGGCTGAGCTGACTCCAGCCACATAGTTTCCCTTCCTCCATATCTCGCCCGGAACTAGGATACTCGACGAGATATCTATCATATTCATCTTCAAGAAGTATAATCTAAAAAGGGAGATTTGATGGGTAGTATGGCAGCTCACATGCACATACGACAAGCAAGGAAGTTGGGAAGGTCTTGACTGTGGAGGCATAATCAGGTCGTCATGAGAGAATCAAGGACTTCATTTAACACATCCCCTCAATTGTCTAGCAGTTAGTGAGGAGCACAATCATTATTAAATAACGGTATTATAATATCTGGCTCTTCCAGAGCCGTTATAGGCCTTTTTCCAAAATCAAATCAGCGCTTCCCCATGCAAGTGCTCACGCAATGAACAGACCAGTCCACTTCAAGGGACAACGGAATCCGGTCTCATAATAAGCAATATTGCATTGCGCCACTTCTTAGACAATGGAGCATATAGTACAGCGCTTATGGTATCATTCGAGAAACAAGGATACGAAACAATGGCTCCCTAGTTGCGACAGATCCAACCCATGTGCGCAGCCACGTGCGTTGAAGCATCTCGGGGGACGGAACCCGACCGCCAAGACAGTTGTATGATGTGTGCACGATTTGAAAGAAACATTGTTGCAAATTTTGTCATATCGATTCATTTTGATCCATGTGAGGGAATTATCAAAAATGGGACCACTTGAAAGATTACAGCAACCTTGATAGATTGTGCCTTGGAGTGTACGGACTTGTGTGTTGGTATGGACTGGTGTATCTACCATCAACACATCACAGAACAATCTTGTCATTCAAAGCTGAAACAAAATGATTAGATTACTGCAAAGATTAGAAACAACCAACGGTTAACAATGGCTCGCGTGATATCCGTCCCTAACCTATCAACCCACCCGTCATGCCGACATGACAACCTTCGGAGCCCACATCTAACCCCCGAGCCGGCGACATGACATGACAACCGCAGCCTATCTCCCATGATGTTAATGACATTTACCCCTCGTGTACCTCACGCCCTACGTCGCATTGTCCAATCATGTGTCTCAAAGAACCTCATGCAGGCCCACGCAGGGTGGATCAAACCCGTCGCGGGGCCATCAACGCCCCGAATGGCTTATCATGATTGCGAACGATGCCGGCAACGGAGGGGACTTGTATTAAAATACCCTTGGGTCGCCTCGATTATTATTTCGGTCTTCTTTTCATTCTTCTCTCAAGCATTTACCAAGATACCCCTTACAAACACCAAAAACAATGGCTTCCTTCTCCCTTCCTGAGCCTTTCGCCAGCATCCCCCGTGAGAACTTCCTCTTCGGCCCCTCTCCCATTCAGGAGCTCCCGCGGATATCCGCCGCTCTCGGAGGCAAGGTCGGTGTCTACGCCAAGCGCGAGGACTGCAACTCTGGTCTCGCCTATGGAGGAAACAAGGTCCGAAAGCTCGAGTGCGTAACCAATTCCTCTCCCAATTGTTCTTCAATCGCTAACTTGAACCTTACAGGTACCTCGCCGCTGAGGCCAAGGCCGAGGGCGCTGATACCCTCGTCTCCATCGGCGGCGTCCAGTCCAACCACACCCGCGCCGTGACGGCCGTCGCTACAAAGCTCGGTCTCAAGGCCGCCACCGTCCAGGAGCACTGGGTTGAGTGGGAGGACCCCGGCTACGAGAAGGTCGGCAACATCCAGCTCTCCCGCCTCATGGGCGGCGACGTCCGCCTCGACCCCTCGACCTTTGGCATCGAGCACAAGACCACCCTCGCCAAGCTCACCGACGAGCTCAAGACCGCCGGCCGCAAGCCTTACTACATCCCCGCCGGTGCTTCCGACCATCCCCTCGGTGGTCTTGGTTTCGCTCGCTGGGCGTTCGAGGTTGAGGCTCAGGAGAAGGAGCTCGGCGTCTTCTTCGACACCATCATCGTGTGCGCCGTGACTGGCTCCACCTTTGCCGGCATGATCGCCGGTTTCAAGCTCGCCGAGAAGAACGGCTCTCCCAAGCGCAAGATCATCGGCATCGACGCCTCAGGCAAGGTTCAGCAGACGTTCGACCAAGTCCTGCGCATTGCCAAGTCGACAGCCTCCAAGATTGGTCTCTCGGAGGACGACATCACCGCCGACGACGTGATCCTCGACCCAAACTACAACGCCAAGATTTACGGTATCCCCGACGAGACCACCATCGCCGCCATGAAGTTTGGAGCTCAGACCGAGGCTTTCATCACTGACCCTGTTTACGAGGGTAAGAGCTTGGCTGGTATGATTGATCTTATCAAGACGGGCAAGATTGCCAGTGGCAACGTGCTTTACGCCCATCTTGGAGGCCAGCTGGCTCTCAACGCTTACTCGTCGCTGTAGAGTGGTTTTTTGTAATTCATAGCGTAGAATACTGTAGATAGCAAGTCGGACCTCTGAAGAGGTGCTTGTCTTTGGATAGAATTGATTAACATGTCATTTTGAAGTAGAATCTGTCCGCATTTTGTCAAATTGATGTTTCTGCTTAATTCTCTCTTTATCCCGCTCTCTTTTGTGTCACTTTCTAACTTTTTTTTTCAAAGTCGTGAGAAACTCCTAGACTATGGTGCGAGCTGGAAACAATCGAGAGAGGCCACATGATAATTCCTTCTCCATGGCTCTTTAAGCGAAGTGCTTTGTTTCGAATTGACCAAGAGAAGTTGAATTAAGCCAACTTCATTGTGCCGCCTTCTAGTTTCCTCCTTTGGCCTTGATGAAAGCCTCCATAAAGTCTTCAGCATCAGGTTGACCATCAAGCCGCTCTCCTTGAACCGAATAGTTCGGAACACCAGCTCCCACTAGAAACTCCTTGTTCTTTTCAGCTTCATCATCCACAGCCTTGACTTGCTCCTCAGAATCCAGCCACTCATCAACCTCGGCAGCTGAAATACCCGAGTTGATGGCAATCTCTCGAAGAACCTCTTTAGTTGAAATGTCCTTTTCCAACTCATGATAGGCCTGAAAGATTCCTTCAACCAGATAATTCAAAACTTCAGGCTCTTTTGTACTGGCGAGGCGTACTAGGGTATGCGCGAACTGAGTATCACCGACTTTTCCACCGCTTTTGAAATTGATGCCAACACTGCGTCCGATCTGGTTCATTCGCCGGTATAGCTTCTCTCTTTGCTCGGTAGTCATGTCGACGAGCTTCACATCGGCCACTTCAGACTTGTCGACGCTGTGGGTTGAAGGGCCGTAGTTGAGGTAATAAGGTCGCCAGTTGATGGCAAAGATATCAGATTTTCCACCAGGGTATGTCTTTTGGTAGAGAGAGATGGCCATTTCAAGCTGTCTTTTGCCTATGTAGCACCACTTTCATTCGTTAGCACTTGTATCTCCGTCCTGCAGTTGGTGTGCTACTCACAGCACAGACAAAGTCAAAAATAATGTCGACTTCAATGACGGTCATTTTTGCGTTTCTAGTTGTATCGTTTGAGGCGGTAAGCACTGAGTACAGCTAAATTATGGACTATCAAGGAGATTGCCTTGGCCTCTGAAGGATCAGAAAGTTGCTCAAGCCAACATTTCTAGGCAACCAAATTTGTGCGTGCGGGGCTCATCATCTCGACACGTCACATCTGCTGATTCAGCTATTCTAAACCAACATGAAGTTATCCCCATTTCATAACAACCAGTGTGACAATCATTCACTAGCGTTTATCAATTTAGTGTTACGTTGCAATGACTACAGTTCGACCGAGCCGCACCGGTTAGAAGCAGACGGAAACCGAGTTGAAAGGAGCATGTTTCCACAAGACTCGATGGGGAGTTTTACACAAGAGATCGAGGAAATGTCACACAAAAAATTGAAACGTCGTTTGAGGCTGGTTTCATTGACTATTCTGTCTTCTTATTGGTCTTTCATGTATATCTGCTTTGTCTGTTTCATTGATATTGCCAAATCATGGTCAAGCTCGACTGCCTATAGACAAAGACGAGGTGACGTGAAGAAATTCACCGAAAAGCCGCATTGTACACTGCCTGCCAGCTCATCTCATTGCTTTACCTAGGTATATGAATCTCTTGAGCTCACTCCTTCACTTGGTCATCCAACTCTCTTCACAACCAGAACTACTTGGTCAACATCTGACCATCGCAGATCACCAACTTGATCAAGAACCCACCTCAAGTCATCTGCTGGTTCCCTTCACTACAGCCGGCAAGATGCAAATGGATGAGCAGGAAGAGGGCATGTTTCCCGATGTTCTACAGCTGCTCTCTGCTGGATGCACCATAGACGACGCCCTAATGCACGCTTTTCAGATGCCCCAGTTCGACAACAATATCCCAGAGATGCCACCCCCAACGACCTATGCGCGCCCCGGTCCTCACCCTCTGGGGTTGCCGGTGGTGCCTAATTCACCAATTTTCCTGGGTCCTCGCGGTCCGGTGGATAACGACTGGACGCTGGAGAACTTTTTGAAGACGGAGGTGCTTGACATGCCGTGTCTTGACAATACTCCGCCGTCTCACACGATAACTCCATGCACCGAGGGCTTTGAACCAGTCACCCCGACTCAGTATCCCATCTCCCTGACCGCCGTTCCAGGAACGAAGCCAGACACCGACAGACCTCCCAAGAGACACCGCCTCCAAGTCCCACAGATCACAGATGGTCCTGACAGCCATCTCGTCTCCCTCCTCGGCCAGTCGACCTTTGAGTATCAAGGTCATATCGTCTCCTTGAACCACGCCTGTAATCTTCGCCAACAATACGATCTCCTCTCATGCCAGAGAGACCGAAACACCACCTCCCCAGAGCAAGATGAGTCTTTTCCCAACACCGACGACGAGTTCCGCGGTCGCATCCGCGAGATCTTTGAAGCCATCTGCGACTGGACCGATCTACGAGAGTGGCGAGCCAAGATGGGACAGAAGCGCGTCAGGGAGTGGCTTGCTGAAGTTGCCCAACAGAGACGAAGCTTAGGTCTCGATGATGACTTGTCCAAGCTCTCCGACAAGGAGCTTCAGCCTCCAGCGAATCGTATGCCGTCTATGAAGGAGCAGTGGAAGAATGTCATCCACCGCACCATGTCCGACGTTGAGATTGAACTTCTCTGCGCGCAGATTCTCGCAAGTCCACCACTCTTACTCTTAGATTGCTCAACTAACCGTGTAACAGAAGCAGGCCATGGCTGCTCAAAAGGGTCACAACACGACTCCCATGTGGAGCAACAACGAGACGCAGTGGGAAGAGTTTTCGACATTCTCGGAGCGCTAGGACCGCATCTTGAATGCCTTTCGAGTGAGTTATCCTTTGTCTATTAAGTGTGCATCTACTAACAGCTGGTAGGACAACAAGGTCTTGATCCACTCGGCCATAAGAGCGCCATGGATCACACGCATCACAAACTCGCCACACTCAGAGACTCGTGTAAGTTTTTTTTCTTGACTTGTTTATATGGGTGATACTAATGTGAGGTTGATAGAGAAAGTACCAGAACAAGGCTGGCAACGATCGCAAGCGAACTCTGATTGAGCAGGGTGGCTCAGAGAAGAAGAAGGCCAAGGCAGAGTCCATGTCGCCTTTTTGAGACCGCAAAAGATTGGGATCATTTATATACAAAGTTTGGATCTGATGACAATGGATAGACTTGCAATTTGGCAAGCAGGGATGATTGTGCTGGTAGCCTGTCAGTGTCGCACAGCATGAGATCTAGATAACAGACAGATGATTCGACAGGTAGTCGACAAAGAATTTGAGCTTTCCTTGTCAAGTAGGATGCTTGTTTTCTTTCTTTCTTTCTTTCTTTCTTTCTTTCTTTAGTATGTAAATACTTCTTCAGTCACATAAGCATGCATCAGAAGATGAGCAAACTGCAATTCTCAATTATGGCGTCAAGCGCCCGCTAGTTTTGATGCAAACGCATACGAGACTTTTCTCTCATAGCTTCCCTTCCACAGTGGTATGTCTTTTCGCCTCTTCCTTTAACCATTAAATAAACCTTTCTTTACCATCCTCGGACGGCAAGCTTCTCCTCGGGCTTCATGGTGTCGCAGTTGATGCCCACCATGGCCTCGCCCAGTCCAGTGCTCGTCTCGGCCAGCACCTTGGGGTCCTTGAAGTGCGTCGTCGCGCGCACGATGGCCTTGGCTCGCTTGGCGGGGTCGCCAGACTTGAAGATTCCACTGCCGACAAAAACGCCGTCGCAGCCCAGCTGCATCATGAGAGCGGCGTCGGCGGGGGTAGCGACACCGCCGGCGGCAAAGTTGACAACAGGGAGACGGCCAAGCTCGGCAGTTTGACGGAGGAGCTCGGCGTCGACTTCGAGTTCGCGGGCAAGTTCGCGGATGCGGATGATGCCGCCTTCGGCGAGGGCAGCCTTGGCTTGGGCGATCTGACGGTTGACGGTCTTCATGTGACGGACGGCCTCGACAACATCACCAGTGCCGGCCTCACCCTTTGTTCGGATCATGGCAGCACCCTCAGCAATGCGACGGAGAGCCTCACCCAAGTTTCGGCAACCGCAAACAAAGGGAACACCAAAGGGGCTCTTCTCAACGTGACTCTCATCATCAGCAGGAGTCAAAACCTCACTCTCGTCAATGTAATCAACGCCGAGAGCCTCGAGGATCTGGCACTCGACAAAGTGACCGATGCGGGCCTTTGCCATGACGGGGATGGTGACGGCCTCCTGGATCTCCTTGATCATGGCGGGGTCCGACATGCGGGCGACGCCGCCGTCCTTGCGAATGTCGGCGGGGACTCGCTCGAGTGCCATGACGGCGCAGGCTCCGGCCTCCTCGGCGATGCGGGCCTGCTCGGCGTTTGTCACGTCCATGATGACGCCGCCCTTGAGCATCTGGGCGAGGCCGGCCTTGACGGTGAAGGAGGACTTGGCCTCGCTGCCGTTGTTGGAAGTGTCGTTGGTCATGGTGATGGATGTGAAGAGTGAGAGATGAAGAAAGAGTTGAGTGAGATGTGTGTGTGGAGATGGGAAGAAAAGAAGGAGATTGTCTAGAGAAGTACCCTTTTTATTTACGTCTCTGACTCAAGAAGCAACATGCAAACCCAAAAGTAGGTATTACTCAAATAAGAAGGACAAGAGAACAATACCGAAGCCCTCCTTCTCGGCGTTGCCCCTCCCTCCTCCGCCGCCCCGGTATGCGGCGCCGGAGCACCACGGGTTGCGGAGTGAGTGCGTCCGCCGCGTCCGTAATGCATGCATGCTTCATGTACATGTGACGAGAGACTTTTTTTTTCTTCCCAAAGAAACCTTAATGTCCTCCCCCTCCTTGGTTACTAGCGGTCGTTTCTCCGACATCCGATCTAGGCGCCGCACGCCCTTGTTCCGACGGATGCAATAGGGCGGATGTAACAAGGCCAGAGATGACAGAGATTGCGGCAATTGTCGGGAAGAAGAGGGACAAGAGATATAGCATCATGCAAGAGTGAGAGATTGCGTCTCGGCGTATCTCTACCCCGTGATCCATCACTCATGCCCTCAATTCTAGAATGTCTCTCATTTGGAGGGTGTGTTGAAACCTTGACTTGCAGTGTCTGATTGTTCTGCTTGTCTGGCTTTTCGCCACAATCCAGATCCGTGGATAACCTACTACAGTGGCCATTCCCATTGTTCCTAATCAATTGTCAATGACAATGCTCGCCCTAACGACATCATTCATTCCCCTCTAAGAAGGTCCAGAAAGATAGCGGATTCCCCCCAAGTTCCAGACCCATCAACACCCGAGCCTATCCCACCAAAGCCGCATATCGCCCCCTCCACCAACCTGCATGAGCGGCATTGTACAGAAACGGCTTCTCCTCAGATCCTCCAAGCCTTTCGACAAAGCTGACTCGATATTCTATTCCTTGACTCACGTACCCCCCTTGCTAGTTCACGGCATACCCCGGAGCCGCCGCGCTTCTCTCAAAGTTCGGAGTTGCTCTCCTCAACGTCGCCGCCCTTCTGTGCGTCCCTTTTGTCTGCATGCGGCATGTGCGTCTCGCATGGTGCTAATGCACGGCTTAGTCCTCTTTGGGATATTCCGGTATCCATCTTTTTTCCAATCTCCCGAACGAGAATCTGGGGATCTTCCTTTAGCTAACGGGACCCTGACTAAGAAGAATCGCCTTCGGCCATACCCTCCGAGGGATATGACAACTTCTCCGTTATCGCAGCCTGTTGATCCCGAGATACATCTATCTTGTCTATCTTCTCTCGCAGATCATATTCTAAAATCATCAACTCATCACCATGTTGAGCCTCACTATTGGCGTCCTCGCCCTTCAGGGCGGCTTCTCTGAGCATGTAGACCTTGTCCACAAGGCCGCTGAGTACCTCTCGTCTACCGACGGCATTTCAAAGACAAAGTTCAACTGCATCGAGGTCCGCACTGAAGAGCAACTCGCCCAGTGCAATGGCCTCATCATTCCCGGCGGCGAAAGTACCACAATCTCTTTTGTCGCTGCTCAATCTGGTCTCCTTGAGCCCTTGAGACACTTTGTCAAGTAAGAACCTCTTCTTAGAGTGCTTATCTCTGTACTAACTGAAACAGAGTTCAAAAACGGCCTGTTTGGGGAACTTGCGCTGGTCTCATCCTCCTCTCTGATGAAGCCAACGCCACCAAAAAGGGCGGCCAGGAACTCATCGGTGGTCTCGCCGTGCGCGTCCACCGCAACCACTTTGGTCGTCAGATTGAAAGCTTCGAGTCTGGCCTTGACCTTCCCTTCCTTCAAGACGGGGAACCATTTCCCGGCGTCTTTATCCGCGCGCCCGTCGTGGAAGAGATCATTAGCACTTCTCAGGACGAGAGGCCGCCCGTACAAGTCCTCGCCAAGCTGCCTGGTCGGGTGGACAAGATGAAGCCCGGCCTATCACAGGCAAACACCAAGGATGACTCTGGTGATATTATTGCTGTTAGGCAAGGTAATGTGCTGGGAACGAGCTTCCACCCAGAGTTGACAAAGGATGCGCGGATACACGTTTGGTGGTTGCGCGAGATTCTTCACCAGAAATAAAAGGACACAACATAGACATAGACAGGCGTTGCAGGAAAAGGAAATAAGATTATTAATATTTGGGTATCAGCTTTCATCAGCCATTAATTCCTCCACCAACTCGTTCTTAGCTCTTACCCATAGCCGCATCGTATCCCGGTGGTGGTGACTGAGGTCGAGGTACTGAACCTTGCCCCTGCTCCCCTTGTTGTGATGTCTGACCAGCCCATGTAGGTGTCCTGTTCGCAGGAGAGCTGAATCCCAAAATCTGAAGTATTTCTGGGCTCCCCATCGTCTGGGCAAGCTCGGCTGGTGAGATTGTTCCTCCAACATTCACATCCGCACCATGCGCCTTGAGCAACTTGATCAAGTCTACATCCCTCCTCGAGATGGCCTGCATCAACGGCGTCCTCCCCTTCTTATCAGTCGCGTTTGGATCAGCACCGTGTTCCAACAACAGTCTAGCCTGATCCTTTCTTCCGTGGTCGATGACATACAGCAGAAGCGTCTCACCACTGCTCATCTTCTTCTTCGTCTGTGCTCCAGCCTCAAGCATCAACTTGAGCATCTCAGTGTTGCCCATCTCCATAACATAGCAGATAGCCGCCACGCCCGTCGTGGCGTTGTTAACATTGGGAGACCCTCCATGGTCGAGCAGCATGCGCACTACTCTGATCCTCTCGGCCTCGGAGAGCTTGTTGTCGCGGATGGCGATGAGGAGGATAGGCTGACCGACCAGATCCTTGACGTCGGCCTTGGCCCCGTGATCGAGGAGAAGTGAGGCCATGTCCAGCTTCCTCTTGATGATGCATTCCCCCATGACGGATATTCCAGTGAGTGTCTTGGCGCTCGCGTTGCTGCCGTTCTCGAGGAGGAGGTGCACCATATCCATACGATCCTGACTCGTCGCGATGGCCAGCAGAGAGTTGCCCGTGATATCTCCCGAGTTTGCACTCGCCCCGTGCTGAAGAAGAAGACGAACAAGTTCAATGTTGCCCTTCTTGACAGCCTGCGCAATCATCGGTCGTCCCGACAAGGTTGTCGTGCTCGCCTTGGCACCACTCTCTAGCAACAGCTTGATACCCTCCAAGTTTTCGCTGTTGCAAACATCCACAAAGTACGATTGTCCTGACCAACTCTTCTGGTCGACGTCGGCACCTTGGTTGACTAGGAATCTCGCAACGTTGAGGCTGCCAACCGAGGCGGCCAGGAATAGAGGTGGCAGCTTCAGGTCCCTGGAGTTGACGTCGGCACCAGCTCCGATAAGAAACTTGACAGCTTCCTCCTTGTTAGCTAGCACCGCGCATCCAAGAGGCGTGTTTCCCTCCCCATTGCGACCGTTGATATTTGCACCCTGTGCGAGGAAACCACTCATCTGCTGTACATCACCTCGAAGAGCTGCCTGACAAAAAGCCGTCGCTAAAGGATCAGGTTTGGGCCAAAGACCAGCAGTCATGGCTTTGAACGAGTTTGTCAGCGAAGACAACCCCTTGGAAAATCCAGAAGACGAGCTCGATGCCTCGACAGTGGGCGACTGTGATGAACTAGGCTCGTAGGGCGGAGGTTCAACATCGACACCGGGGAGTGGCCCCTTACTACTCGATGCGATGGTATCAGATGGGGCCCCAGAAGTGATCAACACATCCTTGGTCTGCGAAGCTTGGTGACAAGCTAGGTTAACATGGTGAAACACCTCTTTGCCGCTTGAGCTGTCAAGCGCGGTATCCTGTTCATTCCGGCTTTGTCTAAACGCCAAAAGAGTCAACAAAGCATCATAACAAAGGTTCACAGTTTGAGCTTACAGCGAAAGCACCTTGGCAAAGAAAGCAAACAGTCGTGAAAAGGCAACCACGGCATCATTATACACTACCAGAAACACCTCATCAAGCATAGGCAGCGTGTCGACCTGCAGCCGCATGGCCTGCTTGTTCAGCACGGCAGTGATGACATCGCACGATCCGAGACTTTGGCTCAGATGCGTCTGTAACCGAACCGAGATGACGCCAGCAGCGTTGAGGGCTGTCTCTAGTTGTCCGACATGCTGATGAAGCTGGTACAGTCTCGCGGCAAGGTTTGCCAGTTGCGAGTTCTCAACCTCGAGCGAGCCGTTGAGTTCGTTGAGCTCTTCGGCGCTAGACAAGATTCTATGAGAGATGGTCGATCCCAAGGACGTCAGTGAAATGACGGAGAAGCCGTCACCGTCCATCCTGGCGTGGATCTTTCAATGTGGAGTAAATAAATTGGTGTTGAGGGGTTTGTGGGTGTGGATCGACAAAGGCCGCGCGCGGGGAAGAGAGACAAAGAAGCCGGGGCGTCACAACTCTAGACTCTTCTCTCCAAGAACCTTCACTTATAACACAAGACGACAGCAGCTCGAAACCCTCGCTTGGGTCTAACCGTTACAGTCGGTAGGGCTGAATTTGCGTAAACGAGGCAAGGCTGAACGGAAATGCGTCGTGTGTTGATGACGCGGTCCAACGGGCTTGGCTTCCTCCCAGACCACGTGTCTAGCCAGGATCATGACCTTTCACCCACTGGGCTGCCTCTCTCCAGGCTGAAGTGTTCACTTAATCAAACATGGAGCAAATCAAACTGCTGCCTTGAAATGTGACAACTTGCCTAAATCGTATCTTCAATTTGACAAAGGTGCCCTCGCTCCATAATACCGCATACGCTCAAGTGTCCTTAATCCTGCTTTTTTTTTTTTGCTTACGCCATCTCGCATCCCTCGCTTCTGCTTCTGGTTCCCTCCCAGCCATTTGTTTTACTTTGGACTGACAACCTTTGTCTTGACTCCTTCGATAGGTTGATCCTTTGCTTTCTCGGGCCGTGTCATGAGGTAGAAGAAGCCCAGACCAAGGGCAAGACCAACACCACCAATCACATAAGATTGGTTCCTAGACTCTTATCAGAAACTGGTTCATTGAAGAAGTTGTGCGCAAACTTACTGGTTCTTTTGAGATACGGGTCTCTCTGAAGACAACTTGGGGGGGTTCTGTCGAAGCTGTGCTGACACGCAAAGACCGCGTTGCCCCAACATCATCGGCCGCAGGGGTCGCACAAAACGGGTGGCTATGGCTGACATGTTGTCTCTGGTATCACAAATATGCTTGATGCAGATCCGGAGTGTTTACAGGCGAGGCACAGCAGCAGCTATTAATAAAAGATCAGAAACATCAATGACGTTCATTAGAATCACTCAATTGAAGGTAAACTCCATTCGGCCTTGAGTGTTTCGGAACATGAGTGATCGTGGCGTCATTGATGCGTAGGTGCTCATCGAGGAAAAAGAGACACTCAGATAAACCCTTTAGCCCATTCTCCCCTAAAGATAATAAATAGAGGACAACAAGAATAGTCAGAGAAGATCTAAAGCTTTGCCGTTGTTATGATACGTCTTTAGTTAATTATTATGGATGCTTGAGAGCTGCCTAGGTAATTGACCCTCTGAATATCCTGATGTCTCGTCTATTTCTCGACCTGGGTAACGCTCTCTTCCTGACATCGCCACCACAAAAGTCATAAGGGTCTAGTAGATGAATGAAATTAAATGGAGACTCATGATCCGTTGATCGGGCTTCGTCGATGGCCATTTCTACACTTGCGACAGCCATCGCTCCACAACCGACTTCGTCAACGACAAGTTCAGCACTACCAAGGGTTCAAGTTCAATCTGTTAATACATACGTGAAATATCTCTCTATGATGCCCCCATCTTCTACAAATGCTTTTCCCCAAGTTCCATTCCTCACGTCCCGTCCAGCCTCCATCTCTTGACTCCCCATCAATCACAGTCACCAGGGACAAGGGCCGCATCATAGCAAGCGCTTCAATTTCACTGTCGTAACATTCGTCTGGGTATCTAACATCATTCGTAAAATTCCCAAGCACTGGACGCATGTGACGGCGGATGGTCTGTAGAAGATTGTGTTGATGTGTATGTTTGTGTGTTGTAGTATAGCTTCTAGACTTTGAATCCTGTCCAAAAGCCCGGGTCGTCCTTCACCCAGGCAACAAAGAACAGGATTTCGGCCTGTGACCAAGTGTCGACGCTTCCGAGACAGTCCAGGAATTCCAACAGGTGGAATGCCGCTATCAGGGCGTGCGCGACGTCCTCTCTGAAAGGCGATGCGCAAGGTCGACAGAATCGTCCTGAAAGCATTATCGGCACGAGGCGTAGATGTGCCCGTTGCATGTATGTCCAGCTACCGGCCAGCTGACTCCATCTGTTGAAGCAGTGCCCTAGCTCCCTCCTATTTCGTGTCCAATACTCTCACGTTGCCGCTTACGGCTCCAAGCATATCCAATTACCGTGAGAAGATCCTCAATGACGTATCAACACTTCCAGTCGCGATAACACAGCGGATCTGTACATCTAGAGGTGCCGCTGCTGCCTTTTTCGGTGTCCCAATCTCGCCGTTGGCTTCGTCGGCCGGGCCCTTGGTGATCGGGGGCGCCCATCGTAAGCTCGTAATAAAGTGTTCATGCATTCCCTCGAGTGTTTTGACGCATTTTCCTTCTTGGCTCAGATCCCAGCATCGAATTGTCTTGTCATCAGATACCGACAAAAGGAATTTGCCGCTCGGATGGAACACCAAGCTCCGGACCCAGTTGTCGTGACCGATCAGCGTCTTGATGCACGTTCCGCGACTGTCCCAAAGTCGGATAGTCTTATCCCTGGATCCTGTCGCCATGAATTCGGCCGTGCTGCTGGCTGGAGGAGCCTTCTTCAATCCAGCCATGGTCGCGAGATGCTGATAAGAAGTAGGGGGAGCAAAAGCGCAGCACTCGACACAATGCTCGTGACCAATCATGACCATCTTTGTCTCTGGGGTGTTCATTGAAATATCCCATAGTCGCAGCGTTCGGTCGTTGCCGGTCGACAAAAGGTATTTTCCATCTAGGGATGGGCTCACGTCGCGAATCCAATCGGAATGTCCTCGTATCGTCTTCAGACAGTATCCTGTGGTGACGTCCCATATCCTCACCGTCACATCTCGGCTAGCGCTTGCGAGTAGATTACCGGAAAGCGGTGCTCCAGGGGCCCCTGAAGGAATAAACCGAACGGCGCTCACGCTGTGGTCGTGTCCAGGAAGTGTGCGGATATTCTTGTACTCGTCGGATGGGTCCCATAGCTTGATAGTCAGATCCGAGCTGCAAGATGCGAGCAGCGTGTGGCCCTTGGGTCCACCGTAGTCTAGATCGAGAACCGCTTTGGTGTGGCCCTTCACCGTTCGTTCCAGCTCGCCAAATTCCCAATCCCAAATCTTGATGATGGCATCTTCATCTCCAGACGCGATGGATGAGTAGATGGGATGGAACGCAACGCAGTTAATGGGTGTTCGGTGCGATTGGAGGACGTGTCGCGGTGGTCCGGCTGGAAGCCAGGAGGCGGGATCTTGCTTGCGGTTGGATAGGGAGGTCGGTGTAGCGCTGTCAAGTTCGGTCTGGAGAACTTCGTTTCGTGCTTCTAGATCCATGATCTGAGAGCCTCATTAGCTGAGGGGGCATGCGACAGAGCGCAGATAGTGTACCTTCTTCTGCAACCGGACAACACTAGTCCACTTCTTCTCCAGCAACGTCTCATACTTCTTAGCGGTAGCAGGATCAAAGATTTCTTCTCCGAGGTTGAGCTCTGTCCTCATAGCAGTGACGCTATCCTGGAAATTATTGGCGGCGAGGTATGCGATGATGGATTTGTGCCTGCAGTGTGGTTAGACGGGCAAGTGACAAGCTCCAGGAGCTCCCCTGTACGAACAGCTCTTCGGCCTGCCGGCTCGTCAAGGTCCGGCTCATTGTAGCGGTGTTTCGCTCTGCTCTACAGAGCAGCTCGGAACCCAGGAATCGTGTATCGTTCAGTGGCGGTCGGGTCGCTTTGACGGAAAAACATGCGAGACGGGTTCGTCGATTAAAACCGCGGGGGAGGGGCGGCGGGTTTTGGTGGGAGAGCTTCCTCGGTGACGTGTCGGTGGAGGAGGATAGGCGACGGTGATGGCTGAGGAGACGACCAATGGGGAGGTCGGTCAAACGGCAGAAGGAGGAGAGCACAAAGGAAAGGGTGACGGCTCTTTCAGCGGGAGCAGAGCGGAATGCGCATCAAAAGGCGACGCGATTTCGCCAGGGGCTTCAACAACCGTGGACAAAGAGCGGTGCAGCCAAACGGGCCTGAGCCGCTGCCCAAGATCACGTGGAGTTCGCCGTAGTGCGTCTACCCTACAGTTGATCAGCATTTGAGGATCTTCAACATTAGTAAGAGATAAGTCGCGTGTTTGTCTACCATTCTAGGAAAAGAAAGGAAGGTTTCATAATGGAGAGCTTATTTCCGTCTTTTTAATTGTGCTTTTTTTTCCAGTTGTCTCTGTTTGTGAACATATCTGCAGAAAGGTCCCATCCCCACTTTCTTTGAGAGCACCACAAAAAGAATGCATGTGTTGGTGTTGGCTGGCCCCGTTTGGACCTAGTTGAGTCCCGTTTTCTGGCCCGTGGAACATGTATCGGAAGCTTCCTTGGACCAATCCAATGGAGCTCGATAAAGCGAGAATCGAGCGGTACCAGCGCCAGCTTCGGGAAGATGAGACCCAGAGCCAGAGCCATGGCGCCCCCAAGAACTCGAAAACAGCTGGGCGCGTGGCAATGCTTGACGACCTCTACCTCCCAATCCTTCTAACAACCACAAAGTCAGCCTTTATCGCCTGCAGCAGCGATGGCTCAGCTTCTGCGAAAGGATGGGCAGACGGGGCGGATTGGAAGGCTCTGCTGAAGACTCTGACCTTTGACAATAAAGACCTCGGCGGGTCCTTCATTCGATATCTCATGCGGGACTATAATCTCCGCTGGAACGGATGCACCATCAACTCAGAGAACTCAATGCAAGTGTATACAAGGAGACTCAGGGGACTGTACAAGAAGTACACGGCCGAGCCGTGGGACGACAACCTCAGGGACCATCTCCGCCAATATGCCAAGATTCTCATCACACCGAAATGGAAGTTGAGACGAGAGCCCAAGGCCAAGCCTACCATGGGCCCTGATTTCTTCATCTATCATATCCATTTCCTCTGGGTACACGATACGTCTCATTTCCATATCGGGTTGGACCGACTCGACGACGCGACTGTCCGCCACTTTGCCATGTACACCGGCTGTCAAAAGCACGAGCTGGTTTATGCCAAACCCCCATACCTCGACAAAATCTTGAAGACGACTGCTGAGGACACGGACGCGTACACCGACGTGGAAAACGATACGGACGAATGTGTGCGGCGTCGACCTAAGGAGTGTTGGGTGTGTGGTGGTCTGGGACGAGAGGTGGGATAATCCCAAGTTGAGGGTCCTCTGCTGGGAGGATATCGATTTCTGGATCCTCCGCGATCCCGAGCGCAATGGGGGGCGTGCCCGCCTCGCCATGCAGGTTCTGCACAAGGGCGAGAACAAGAAGATCGTACCGACATGGTTTACCTTTATTGGAGAGGACATGCCCGCTCTTTGTCCGGTATCTCACGTCCTTGCTAAGGCGCTGGCCGAGGGTGAAATTGACGCTCCGGGTTATCAGACGACGGCAGAGCCCTTCTTCAGCACCAAGCTCAACCAGCCTTCGATTCAAATCAAATGGAAGCGGGAGTGGTTGCATGGGCCTGTGTTTCGGAGGACTCTTGACGATCTAGGCATCAAGTCCAATGAGCCGTTGACAGCTGGGACCTTCGACAGTCACTCCATACGGTTAGGGGTTGCAATGGGCCTCCTGGCACACTTGACAGAATACGCCTACCGGAGAGGGTTCGCTAATTGCGTTGATGGTAAGTTTGCTTGTCTTCTCTTGTCTATGCACGTTCTGACGCGGCGCCAGAAAACTATCGCCAATCGGTTCGGGACCAAGGACTTCGCCACCGCCCGAACAGCACAATCTACCAAGAGGCTTATCACAACGCCAACTGCCATGCTATCGTTCAGGACGTCTTCCTCGGTCGAGGTACCGCGACCCTCTACCTCGCCATTTCCAACCACATCGGCTTGCGTCGAGATGAGAATGCACCGAAGGTGGTCTCTGACGAATTGATGTGTGATATCGGCCCTAGCAGCGACGTGCGACGTCTTGAGGAGGAGGTGAAGAAGATGAAAGCCGACCTCGAAGAGAAGTACGGCCGTATATCATCAGCGCCAAAGGAAGACCAGTCAAGATACGCTCGCAAGCGAGAAGAGCTGCGAGTAGCAAGACAGAAGCACCGGAGGAAGGTGTTCAAGATGATTTACAAAGATCACTTTGACGCTAGGGACGAAGAAGAGCCGTAGAAGCAGCTGCAGGGGATCCGGGAACCCGAGGTAAAGCGAGAGGTGCAACATGTCTTGCAACAGCGCACCCAAGTGGCAGACATCCTCAGCGATATGGAGGACGCCATTCCCCAGCAAGAGATCGTGTAGAAGAAAGTCGAGGCGATCAATGCTTGGGTTGCCTACGCCTTCGTGTGTGAGCCGGTCCGGCACAACCAGCCCAAACGAAAGCAGTCGGCAACTGGCAGCTCGGGCAAGTCAGACTCAGTTCTTCCCGGTGCTTCATCGCCTCGTCAACCGCCCACAAAGCACGCTCTGCCGGCTTCATCCGATACCCCGACAGGCTTCGCTCACAAGCGTAGCCTTCCTCTCCTCCCGAAGCCCCCCGAATCTGTGCAGCCGCCAAATGGGATATGCTCCCTGCCAAATCCTAGCCTCCCTCGCAGCTCCAGCAACAGTCAACGTACTTTTGATCCTATCACTACTGATGTCGCTCAAACAAACCGCCAACAACTCGCGACACTTGGAAAAACGGCCCAGGCATAGAGCAGCCAGCTGAGAGCATACTGAGCGAGCTGCCTGTCTGTAATTGCGTCGAGATTTTCGATTTTCGTAAGAATCTCCTTGTAAAGCTCTGCTAATGTCTTTGGTAGTCGTCTGAGTCTCTCTAGAATCGCAACGTCGGTGGTCTATTAGTAAAGAGCCTGTAATTGTAGGCTTGCCTAGCGGAACCTGGTTTTGTAAGCTATCTATGACTATCTCGTCCCCGTGAAAACCTTATATGCCTTGCGCCTTGGAAGTAAGCCCGTGGATGATTTTATCGCGTATTTCTTCTTTTCTTATGCTAAGCCGCAGTAATAACCCTTTGTCGATAAGGCGTTTTGTCTCTGATTGTATGAATAGATTTATGTTTGCCGAGTTGTAGTTAGAGGAGAGGTATAAGTTTGGATAATTGTCTAGTTTATAGATAGTATCTTGATCTGTCTGGCTTGATATAAATATCTTTAAGAGATATAGAGATGCCTTTAGAAGGTTATTTAGCGTATCTAGTAGATCTCCCTGCGTTGCCGAGTTTTATATTCGTCCAGGGCGTCGATTATAATCGTTATGGTCGTGTCCTCGTATTACTTAAGCAGCTTAAGAATTAATATAACGAGAGGGTAATTCCTAAGGGATAAACCGGTTATACTAGTTTATATTAGCACTAGATTATATTATATAGCCTTAAAGGGTAGTATAATATTATATCTAGTAATATACTTAAAGGTATTAAATATAATTAAGTTATATTAATAGCTAAGGTAATTAATATATAAGAAAATATAATAAATATATTCTATATATTATTTAGTCTTCTAAGTTAAATATAATTAAGTTAAGTTAAGTTATTAGTATTCGATTTATATTATTAAGAGAAATTAAATTAACTTTATTTAACTTATATACCTTCTTTCCTTATAATTAGCTACTATAATAAGATTAATTTCTTACCTAGTATTACTACCTTCGACTATATTATAGCCATAATATAAGGCTCCCCCTCTATTAATCTTATCCCTAAGGCTAACTTCAGAGACCAAGTATCGCCGTGAGTAACTTAGACTTATAATTATTCCTCTTACTAACGTGATATTAGGTTATATTGAAAAATCATCTTCCCGCCTTAAACTTACTACTACGCGCCGTAGTAACCTTTCTTATTTAATCGATAAATTTGGTTTCGAGATGCCTTAGTATTCTATATACTTCTATGCTAACCGCTATCTATACATAATAGCTAAAAGAAAATAGTATTATAACTTTTGCGTTAAGAAAAAGTATATAAATTATAATTTTAGTAATATTTCTTTATAAGCTTATAGGTCGGTTTTTTCCTTAGTAGTAGGTATATGCTAATATATTTTAGTTGCCTGCGTTTCTTAGGAGAAGGATTATATTAAGGAATAGAAAGAGAAGGCCGAGGTAGACCTTTTAGAGGCCTTATCCCGCTTATAGCGGCTTTATTATTAAGAGAAGTATCTTCGTAAGAAGGCTACTAAGATAATCCGTCGTAGTTATAAGGATTTAAATAAGCTAGATAAGGCAGAGCGTCGCGACGAGGAGGCTCGGCGTAATTTAGAGGCTCGGGCTTTATCTAAGGTTTAATTATTAAAAGATTATAGGGTTATTAATTAGAGTACTATTTCTAAGTCTACTTTATTTTTATTTAGCATTATTAATAGAAATTCTTTAAAAGGCGCTATATATTAGTAAGGTATTCTAGGGGTTCTTATATATTTTCTAAGTTAAGGTAATCTTTCTATTTAATAAAATATATTATCTTATTATTAATTTTATTTATATCGAGGATAGCTTTTATAATATATTCTTTTAGTCTATTAACTTCTATATCGGGCTTATTACCTATCTTTACTTAGATAATATCTTATACTAATTTAAGTAATAAGATATAAAAGATTAGATAAAGCTTAACCTTAGGTAATAAATCTAATTTATAGTTATATTTTAAGATTCTTTATTTAATCTTATAGGGTCTAATATATTTATAATTAAGTTTTTTATTTTATTATTTTATTTTAATATTTTTTATTGCGAGGTAGATTATATTTCCCTCTAAGAAGATTAATCCCTTAATTCTTTTTTTATTAATATAATTTATTATTTTATTTCTAATAAATTTAAGTTTTATTTATATTTCTTTATATAGGTTCTTTAGTTAATCGCTAGTAAGGATTACCTTAAGGTTAATAATAATATCTCTTAATTATTAATAGGTATCTAAGATAAATTTAAAATTAATATAAGCTAATATAATCTTTATGCTTTTATTTATAGCTATATTATAGGCTAGCTAAGTAACTAATAGCTTTTTAACCTAATTAGTTTATTTATAGTTAATATAGTATTAGAGGTATTATTCTAATATCTAATTTATATATTTTATCTATTTATTTATCTCCTTATAGTATATAGTAGAGAGCTTATAATTAATCCCTAAGTATCCTATAAGGCTTTGCTAAAACTTAGATATAAATAATAGTCCTCGATTAATAATAATCTCAAGTAGTATACTATATATCTTAGTAATATAGAAATAAAAGAGATAAATAAATTCTTTAGTTATTATTAATTCTCTATAAGGTATAAAATAAGAAAATTTTATAAGTCTATTTATAATAATAAAAATATTATTATAGAAATTTCTAATAGCTAGTTCTTTTAATAGGGGTAATTTAATAATAAAATCTATTATAATAGCTTCCTATAGTAGCTAAGGTATTAATAAGGGTTATAATTTATTATAGGGCTTATAGTATTATACTTTAGTTTTTATATAAAGGTTATATTAGCTAATAATTATTAAAATAGTTTTTTTTATATTAGGAAAAGTATATATTATCTTAACTTATTCTAGGGTTTTATTAATTCCTTAATATTTATATAACTAATAATTATATATTTTATATATAAAATTATATTATAATTCCTCTAATACTTATTATTTATTTATTTTTTTATCGCTTAGGAGTTATTTATTATATTCTAAGATCTTTATAAGGAGTAAATTACCTTATTCTACTATATAGGTTATTTTAATAATTCGGTAGGGTATTCTAGTAACTCTATCTTATTTATAAATAGTAGGTTCTAGTTTTAATAGGTACTTTATATATTATCTTATCTATTATTATAAGTATCCTTTAAGAGTAAAATATAATAATTATCCTTTAGTTTAGATTTTTCTAATATTAAGGTTAGGCCTTTAGCTAATAATATCTACCTTATTATTCTTTAATCCTTTAATATAGATAATAATATAATTAAATTCTAAGAGGTATTTAACATATTATAGTTATTATCTACTAAGTTCTTAGGTTATTATAAAGTAAGAAATATTCTTATAGTCTATATAGACCTTAATTTAATATTAGCTTCCTAAGAAGTAATATCTAAATTTCTTAAAGGTATTAATAATTATAAGGAATTCTTTATTATAAATAAGGTAATTAAGTTCTATTTTATATAGCTTATAGAAATAAAATGCGATTAAGTATAGCTATCTTTTATTATCTTATTATCCTATTTAGGCGCCTAGGGCAAAGTCTAAGGTATTTATTTCGAGTTTAATTTATTAAGATAAATTAAATATCTTAAGTATTAATTCGCTTAGGATAAATTCTTTAATCTTATTAAAGGTATCCTTAGCTTTATTTCTAAATATAAAGAGCTTATCTTTCTTTATAAGTTCTATTAAGGGTATAGCTATTTTTCTAAATACCTTAAGAAACTTATAATAATAATTAGCGAATCTAAGAAAGGCTTATATTTCCTTAATATTAGTTAGCTCCTTCTAGTCTTTAATTACTAAGACTTTCTTAGGGTTTATATATATCTCATTATAAGAGATAATATATCTAAGGAATTCTACTTCTAAGGTATAGAATTTACTTTTCTTAGGTTCTATTAATAAATTAGCATTCTATAGTATCTATTATACCTTATAGATATATTCTATATATTCTTTTTTTATTTTAGAGAAGATAAAGATATTATCTAAGTAATATATAATAAATATATCTAGATATTCTTATAATATATTATTAATTATTCATTAGAATATAATAGGTATATTAATAAGTCTAAAAGGCATAATAAGGTACTTAAATAATCTATATTTAATATAAAAAGCAATTTTTTATTTATATCTTTCCTTAATCTAAATAAAGTTATAAGCTCTTTTAAGGTTAAGTATAATAAAGTATTTTATTCTAAAAAGTTAATCCTTTAACTCACTAATAAGGGGTAATAATATATAATCCTTAACTATAATAATATTAAGTATTTAGAAATTAATATAAAATTAGAGCTTACTATTTTTCTTTAGAATAAATATAATAGGGTATCTAATAAATAACTTACTTTCCCTAATATATCCTTTTTATATTATATCTTTAATATATTCCTTTAATATTAGAAGTTATACTTTATTAAGTAAATAGAGTTTACTAAAGCTAGGTTACTTCTTATTAATAAACTTAATCTTAAGGTCATAGGATATATATTTTAATAGACCTATTTTAAGTTCTTTCGCAAAGAATTATTTATAAATTTAATACTTCTATAATATATTCTTAAGTTATCCCTCTTCTAGGTTATAATTCCTAGGTTTCTTAAGGTCTTTCTCGAGGTTATAAAACTATTATATAATTTATGCGATTATTTATTATTATTATTATTTCTATTTATTATAGTATTTATATTTTATCCCTATAAGTAGAGAGGTATCTTATATTTACCTCTACCTAATTTCTCTATTATTAATAAAAGTTTAAGATTTCTAATCTAAGTTATTATTTATTATAGAGAATATCTTAGCATTATAAGAAAGTATCTAGCTAATTCTCTAGTTAAAATATAGGTTAAAGTATTATAACTATAAGTACCTAAGCATAAGGTTATAGCTCTAGTTTAATATAATATTAAATAAGATTCCTTAGTTCTTTCCTTTAATAAAAACCTTAAGGTAATTAATCTCATAGTTAATAACTTTATTATTATAATTAAAAGGTATTCCTTTAAGGTTATATACTATATAGGGCTTATATTTATGCCTCTATAGTAGCTTAAGCCTATTCGCTACTACTAAGTTGAAATAATTCTACTTAGCTCTATTATTTACTAAAGTATTTAATTATTCTCCTTTGACTTATATTTTTAATTCTAGGTATTATTACCTATATTTTTTATTTATAGAGTAAAGGGCCTTCCTAGGTAATTTATTCCTATATTTATCTATCTATTACCCTATATTAGATAGGGTATCTAGTTTTTTAATATTACTATGGCATAGCTAAAGTAGTTATATTTATACTCGCTATCCGCATAGGCTTCGTAATTATAATTATCTCATAGGCTATCCTATTACTCCTAGTAGCTAGCTTTTATAGCTATATCGTCTATACTTTTGCTTCCTTAGTAAGGTTCTTTTAGCGATTTTAGGTAGGCTGTTATGGATCCCTTAGCTCTGGTAAGGGATAGAGGTACCGCTGAAAGCGGCAGTGAGATAGCTGACTTTGGCAGCTATCTAGTTAAAGTCATATAATTCATAAAGTATAGAGAGCAAAGAAGGCACAATATAAGTAATCTAATCTAAGTTGATTCTTCCTAACTAATAGCTGCTGGATTTGACTATTATAGCGCTAGATCCGTCACGTAGGGAACCCGTATGACTAGGGCATGTAATAAGTGCCGGGGTCCCCGAAAGCTCTACTGTCCCAGCAGAGTCCAAATCTACGCTCTCCCATCCTTCCTTCGTCAAGTCTAGCAGTAAAACAAAAATCCGTTTTCTCCCTATTTATATTCTAGTTATTCCCTGAACTCCATGCTTCCGTCCGTCCTTCCGTCGAAATTATCCTTCTGCCTAATCCTTCTATTCTTTCCCTTAGCCCTCACCAAAAACAATCCATCTCCGCTTCACTCGTCGTCGAAAAAGTTCTAGTCCTAGCTAATCTCGTCCCCGTTGGATGCGCTAGTCTTGCCGGTGGACTTGGCGGGTCCGGGAGCGCGCTTCTTAGCGGGTTTGGCGACCTACTAGAGAAAAGCGTTAGCCTTCGAGATGCCTCCGCGGGCGGCGGTGCTACTGCGGGCGGCCGGGTTTCGTACTGCCGGATTAGCCCGCTTCTCGGTGGTCGGATCGACCAAGACGGGGGTTACCTTTGGCTTGCAGATAGCTAGAGCCGGCTGCCAGATCGCCAGCTGCTTCTTCACCTCTGCGACCACGATCTTCTCTATCTAGGCGTTAAACTCCTTGAGGTTCTTATTATACTCGTCGACCGCATCCTTCGTAGCCTCATAGGCGGTAATTCGGATCGCCTAGTTGCCGATTTCGTCGTGATAGTAGTTAGATTCCCGTCGCAACTTCGAGACCTTCTTCACGATTTGCTTCTACTCGCCGTCCATCTATCGCACCTTATTGACCAGCTAATCGCGGAGTTTGTTCACATTGGCCTTAATTTCGTCGACCTCCTTCGATATGGCGATCGAGGTAGCGGCGGCATTCGCGGCGACTACGGACATATTATCGTCGACTCTAGCCTGCTTGCCGCTAGCTCCGGTAGCGGGGCGTCCCCCGATCTAGATCATCTAGCCGCGTTATATGGTTGCGAGGTATCCGGCGATGGTTCTATTAGTAGCACCGTAGGGATCGACGAAACGTAGGAGCATAAGTTCGGCCTGATCGGGTAGATAATCGGTCTACCACTTCTTATTGCCCCGACTCTCGCCGTATCCACCGTTCATATAGGCCTTTGCAGCGTCTCGAACGCGGTTCTTGGTCTTACGCACCACGTTGGATTCACCCTTAGTCTTATCGCGCTTGGTTCCGGCAGTCTCCTTCCCCTTTCCGGTCACGGGGGTCGCAATCTTGCCGTTGCTAGCAACGAGAGTGTCGTCATCGGCCATCTCCTCATCGAGTTCGCCGCTTTCTATGCCGTCGTAGTACTCGTTAATTAGTCATTCGACACGGAGGAAAAGATCCCACTCCGGATAGTCGCCATCGGGCCGGGAGCAGTCAAAGTCGGGCTGCTCTCCTGCGGTGTGCTCCGGGCTGCACAGCTAGAATTCGACGTGGAGGCACTAGAGGGCGTCCGTTCGGGTCCAGACCTTCTTCGTAGCGGATCCTCTAACCGGCCCGTCGAATCTATAGTTAGCGTAGGTACCGCTAAAACTATCGTCCTCATCGTTGCTACCGGTGATGCGACTGTTTATTAGCTTGTCGATATGCTCTTAGTGTCGGCGGTGAGCTGCTCCTCCGGAACTACCTGGGGCGCTACTGGGAAGCAGGTATCTGCCGCCGAATTTGCGCGGGCGAACTAGCTTAATCTCCTCGAGGTCTAACTCATAGTCGGAATCATCGTCGCTCGAGCTAATGTCCATATCCTTCCGGCCAGGATTAGCATTATCGTTATTAAAGAGGTCATCGAAAGCAGGCGTATTATCGTCGGTGACGTCGCTATTATCGCCTTTAACGTTGCTCTACATAGTCTCATCCTATTCGGGGCGGACTCCGCCTATATCGGCAGTGGGAGTGCCGATTCTCTCCTTAGTGCGAGTACTATCGTCGTCAATGGCTAGAGTCGCCATCGTGAATTGATAAGTTTAGCGGCGGCCTATCGTTTTCGCTGGGTATAATTTATCGGTTTGGTTGGTTTTAGCGGCGGGCGTGTGGGTTCGCCGGCGGCTAGTTAGTTCTGACCTTGCTTATACTATGGGGTCTATGTTAGTATAGTGCGAGGTAGAAGATCGGGTGAAATTTTAGCGGGGTCATAGGGGTTTATATGCTTTGATCCCTGCGGTGAATTCGACCGTGTTCGTGTGTGAATTTCGGCTTATTTTTGCTTATTTTTAGCATTAGGTTCTGTCCTCGTTTCGTGCTATATATTCGTGGTTTATTCCGTCGTGTTAAGGCTAAATTCGCGTGCCTACTTGCTGGAAAGGAGTCTAATGAACTCCGGGCTTCTACTATGACATCCCTCGATTCCGGGATTTATCCTAAATATTAGTATTTTTAGAAAGGGAGGTGTTAATATCGCTAGAAAAAGGTATTCCCTAATAAATGCGAGATATATGAAAAGTGGTTAATAAATAAAATAGTGTTCTAGGTCTTTAGTTACGTATTCCTCCCGGTTCATCGCCGTTTTAGGCGGTGCTCGTTCCTTATTCATCCTCTGGTTTAAAGGATTTAGGCATACTTTTCTTTTTCTTTTTGAATTCGAGGCCCTAGTCCACCGGATTCGCTCTCTTCTATGCTTCTACTATGCTCCTCGCTGTATTTCGGAGCTCGGGTTTAGCTATCTAGTTGTCGTCTTTGGCCGTAAAGCCGACCCATCTTACTAGTAAGTCCCTATATGGCATCTTATTCTTCTAGCGGATTCGTTGCTGCATGATTCTTTCTACTTCCCAGTGGTCCGCGACCTCCTCGTCGTCGATTACAATAGGAGCCGGTGGTGGAATCGTTCGTTAGTATAGGTCCTCTCCCTGTGCTGGCTTCTATAGATAGGCGACCGAAATAACCGGGTGGACTTTCTAGTGCTCTAGGAAGTCGAGCTTAAATGCCTGCTATCCGATCTTGCGGATGACCTTGTAGGGTCTAGCCCTCGTGGGTGACTATTTCCTCTTGGGTTTCCCTAGTAGGTAATAGCCCTTATGGAGTCGCAGGTAGACTATATTACCTTCGTCAATGTTGATTTCCTTATGCTTCGCGTCGTACCTGATCTTAGCTAGCGATGCTGAGGTATTAATAAGAAATTCCGCCTCCTTGTAGTAAATCTTGCGCAGCGCCTCTAATGCTTGCGCGTCTACTTCCTTATCCTCGATTCCGGATATGGCTACGAGGTCGAGGATTCCACGTGGGCGGAACCTATAAATCAGTTCGTTTGGTGCTCTCCCGATGGTGTTTGATACTGCGTTGTTAAGGTTGTACTGTAGCGATAGGAGCAGAGCCGGCCACGGCGTGTCCGGATCCGTTGCGGTATAGTACCGAATCGCAGTTTCGACCGTCTGGTTCTTTCTTTCTGAGATCCCATCGGTCTAGGGGTGATACGCAGCCGACATGAGGAAGTTAACTCTAAGGAAGCTAAAGACGGCTCTCTAGATCTAGGATATAAACTTCGGGTCCCTATCGCTAATAATCCATACGGGGACTCCCTAATCCAGTAGGAATAACATCCGGATAAGCACCTTCGCCTAGTCTTCTGCCATATATAACATATGCCCTACTAGGAGTATTGTCCTTTTCGAGAATACGCAGTTAATAGGGGCCAGGCAGTCGAGTTTATCGTGCCCTTCGACGAACCATATTGTCCCTGCTGCGGTTACCTCCGGCAGGTCTATAATGAAGTCGAGGGCAATCATATGGAAAGGTCGTAGTACTACCGCAATCGACTATAGTTCCCCCTGAGTCGGCTTCTGACTTATCGAATTCTCGTGATATACTAGGCAGTGGGCCACGTAGTTACGTATTATTTTCGATATTCGGTAGAAGTAAACCGGGTCTAACTCTTAAGTTATGCGGTTAATTCCGAAGTGGTGCTTATTATCGTGGACGATTTCGAGGATGCTTTTGACTAAGGGTCGTGGGATATAGAGTCTCCGTTTTCCTTCGTATCCGACGTGGTATAGGAGTTCATCGGAGAGTTCCTATAGCCGGAAGGGTATCGTCTTTAGTCGTCGGTTCTGGCGGTCCGCGTTCTAGATTTCCTTGATATAATCCCATATCCAACCTAGCTTCGAGTCCTTGCTATAGCCCTCGATTACTTATTGACGAAACTCCGGTATGATCCCAATTTGCATTATTTCCACTTCTGCTAAAGCCACCACGAAGTCCAGCTCATCGAAGTTGCTTTCGGTGGCTCGTCTTACTAGTCGGTCTTCGACGGGTAGGCGGGAGAGTGCGTCTGGGATCACGTTAAGTACGCCCGGCACGTAGAATATCCTCAGCTCGAATTGGGAGAGGTAGTTAGCCGCCTTGACCAACTTCGGGTTAGCTTTATTGAAATCGACGGTCTTTAGAGAGGTATGGGTAATAATACCTTTGGTTATAGCGTGGTCGGTGATGATATTTACTGGGTGCCTGCTTGATTGCACTAGCTTTCCCATCTTTCGTACTGCCTATGCTAACGCTGCGACTTTGGCTTCTGTCGATCCGTATCTGGCCTCTACCGCGGAGGTTAGGCGCGAGAAGAACCCGATGGGTTTCAGCTTCTCGCTTAGAATATCCTTCCTAGGAATTGAGCTTCTATCCTATTCCCCGTCGATCTGAAAGACGAACAGGCTAAAGCCGTTTTTATATGCGTCGATTTTAAAGAAAAGCGGTTTTATTGGATCATAGTGCTATAGGGTGAATTATTCTGTTAGGAATTGCTGCATCTCATCGAAAGCGTTTCGTTCCTTCTCCGTAGGCATGAATGCGATGGCTAATGCTTTTAACCTGCGGACTGGTTTTGACGCTCCGGTCGGCAATTTCGAGGCGGCTTTAGCTTCGCGCAGTAGCTGCGACTTCCGATCGAGTAAGGGGCGCATTCGCACGTCGTACTATAGAATTCCTTTTCGGAGGTATCCGGCTATCCCAATGTAGGTTTCGAGAGCGGCCAGGTCGGTTGGGCATACTATTTTTGCGAAAGCATCGAGTCGGTCTTGAGTTCGGTGTAGCCCGTCGCCGTCGACTACGTATCCGAGCAGCTTGACCGCGTTGTATCCTATGAAGGATTTGTCGGCGGCGATCTTTAACCGATTCTCGTCGAGTAGCTTCAATACCACTTCTAGATGCTCGAGGTGCTCCTCGAAAGTGTCGGAAAAGACTACTATATCGTCGATATAGACGCGCATAAAGGCGCGATGTTGGAGGAACATCCCGTCTATGAACCGTTGGCCAAAAGCCGGTGAGTTCTTAAATCCTATTAGGGCCACGTTAGAAACTTCTAACCCACGGTTAGATATAACCACCATTCGATTGCGGTGCGCATTGTAGATAGGCAGCTGATGGAAAAATCCGGTCCCGTCGAACATCGAAAAGTACTTCTTCCCTCTCGTATCCGCCACGATGTCCTCCTAATCCGGCAGTGGGTACATATCGGGCACCGTGATGCTATTCAGGGGTCGCAGGTCAACCACGACTCTGCCCTTCTTCTTGCTATCTACGGTTCTCTAGACGACGAAAGTAGGGCAGGCGATAGGTATTGGTTCGTCCAGGTAATGCATTTTTCCCGCTGCGTATAGCTTCCCGTGGACTTCGTCTAGGAACCGGCGGTCTTCGATCCCCATTGGGTAGGCTCTAATGGTCCTCTTCTGGTTCTACTATCCATCGACGAGGTCGATTCTCATTTTCTTTTCCTCAGGCATGGGGACGACGCCTTTGTCCCTATAGATGTCGTATTTGTTCGTTAACTCCATGAACTTCGCGGCCTTCTTTTCGTCGAGGTTGGCTACCTTAACTCCGAACCTATTCTATACCGAGGGAATGCCTTTAGGGCGGCTAATCCCGTAATTAGGTAATCCGGCATCGACATAGATTAGGTCGTCTTTGTCGATTATCTCTTCCAATTCGGTCGTTGTCATCGGTAGCGTGCCGGTTACGAGCACGTTCTCGACTTCCTCCCCTAGTCTAAAATCCTTGCCGATTATGCCTAGGAAATCCACCGTTCCGGACCCGCTAGCGATGAAGTTCATAGTTTCATTGCCTTCGTAGTTGCTGATATGACCTATGAGTTGCCTCCGACGGATCCGAATATCTTTTCCGTCGGTGTTATGGAAGATAACTATCCTCGGGGTGCTTCTATCGATTATGCTATCGAAAAAGCGTTTATCCTTCCCTTGGAAGTAGAAAGCCTCCTTACTCCTATCTAATCCGTATGTCGCCGGTAGGTTCTTATAAGTGACCGGGATAAAAGCGGTTTCGCCTTTTTTCACCGTGACTATGTAGGCGCTCTTCACCACTCGGTTAAGCGGCGAGATTCTCTTCTTAAAGATCTCCCCTCGGATGATTATGCTATGCGCCGATCTGAAAGAGACGCTAGGGTAGACGAAATCGACTTTAGCTCCATGCTCATATAGGAAGCCTATCCCTAGTAGCAAATAGGGCGTGAGTTAGTCGACGATATCGGCGGTGACGGTGAAGTAGGCCTTAACCTCTTTTCCTCGTATGGTTCCGGGAAGGTAGAAGTCGAAGGTAGCGGATTTAGTGATATTTATAACTCTCCCTATGCCGCTAAGGGTTTTCGGCTCTTGGTTCTTCTAGGTCACCTTTTTGCCGTGCTCCGTGAGCTATGCCTCGTCGACTATAGTAGCCGAGGCTCCGGTATCGCAGTATACTTAGTAGGTCTTAGCTTCTTTTGTTCCTTCGAAGGTGAGGAGGATCTAGAGATACGTCAAAGCTTTTCTGCCTAACTAGTCACTGAAGTCGGGTCTTCCTATTGCTTCGATGACTTGGCCGTCGTTAATAGCGAAATTAATATGACGCCTTTCTTCTGCCTCTATTACGAGGTAAGAATCCTCCTCTCTTTCTATGATTTCGGCGTAGTAGGCGGTGCTCTCATCGCTTTCGCCAGCTCCTTCCTCGCTTAGGGAGTCTTCGTCGGCGTAGTATGCTCTTTCAGGCTTATCCCGATTCTAGCCTCCGCGGTTCCGGTATCGTCCTTCCCGGCCCTTATTTCGTAGCCTTTGTTGGTCATATCTGGGCTCTCTTCTGCCGAGGTCCTCGTTCCCTTGGTGTTATCCTTCCCATGGCAGAGTCTCCTTCCACTATTCCGATTTCATCTCCGGGGTTCTTCCCCTCCGTTCGCTAGGGCGGCCTCGGTCGTCTCCTCGTTCCTAGTTTCTGTTTTGGTTCCACCCTCCTCCTTGTCGGTTCGGGTTATCTGGCCTTTGGGGTCGGAGTCGATTATCGTAGGTGTTATCGCCGATTTCTCTCGGTCTCTAGCTACGAGGAGGGCGGTTTCGGTCCCTATAGCCTCTGTTCCATGGGCGGTCGTTGCCCCATAGTGCCGAATCCTCGGGTTCGGATCCTTTATTGTCCCTTTCGTTGGTGGTATACGCATGTTTTTCGCCATATTGGAGCTTCTTCGCTCCGTTTCCGGTCTTCCCGTTGCGTGCCGCTTTTAACTTTTCGCGCAAGGTCTTCCTCTTGCTGTCTACCATATTGATGTATTTAGATCGTTCGTCGGATTCCACCGGTGCCCTGTAGAGTTGCCGTAGCTCCGGGTGTAATTTAGCGTAAAAGCGGGTGAGCAGCTCGAGGTCTGTGGCCTTTCCTACCACTCTGGATACGTCGAAGATTCTTGCGGAGAAATCTCGTAGCGGTCGGTCGCTTTCCACGTCCTTGAGGGTGAAATAGGCTTGGTCTAGCTATTCTAGAGCTTCTTAAAGTTCCATGCCAAATTCGGTTTTCACCGCGTCGAGGAAGGCGCTGATTAATACGATATAGGTCTGCCTCTCTCGGTCGTCGAGCAGTCTTCGCCACCAGACCAATGCGCTGCCTCTGACGAGTCTCTATGCGTTTTCCTTAATGAAAGCGACTTACTGAGGGCTACTTCCTTTAAGGTGGGATTTGACTGAGTTAACCTATAAGTGAGCATCTATAAAGATTGCTGTAGTCTTATCGTAGAAGATTTCCGCTAGGGGATCTCCGGATTTGCCTCTCGATAGTGCATCTAGCCAGAAGAGGCCAATATCGGTGAGTTTGAATCCGATATTAGTATTCTTCCCTCCTCCTATGCTCCCCTATTCCTAGTATCCTAGGCCTATTGGGTTCAACCTTGCGGTAGATAACGTGAACGGCTCTATTAGTGGTTCCGTCATCCGTGGCTATCCTGCCCCACTCGGTCGTAGGGGGAGTTAATTTCCTCGGTGAGGCTCCTGATATGGTGGAGTCGAGGCCATAGCGGGATAGGGGGCATATGGCGGCTAGGTTAGATGCGTCGCGTGGAGGGTCGGATGCTGCGCCTGAGAGTGTGTTCCATTCTATCCTTAGAATTGCCCTGACGAGTTCTGCTATAGTGGTATCGACGGTGCTAGTGCCGAATATTGGATTCTGCTCGTTAGTTCTGGCATTTAGTGCTACGGGACTGGGTGCTAAGCTGGTTGCTGGGCCGGATGCTGGGCCGGTTGCGGAGGATGGGCTTGGGGTTGTATTCCATCGGGACTTACTTATACGCCAGCGAGTCCTACATCCTCTAGCTTCAATCCGTAGTTTCGCTCGAGGAGGTCGATTATCTGCCTTGCCGTCGGGGATCGCCGGTAAGAGTCTTCTATTTCCAATCTTATTTCTTCCGGAACCGGCGTTCGCCTCACCGTACTATAGGATCCTTGCGATCCCATTCCGACTGGGTTTAGGGCTCCTATCTGGAATTAAGGTACATGGCCTCCCGCGGTTGGGTCTGACTGGTTTATGCTGGGAACCGGGGGTCGAGCTGTCGGATCTGTAATTTCCGGTGCTTCCGTTCGCGCGCTTGGTTAGTGGACGCGAGGATAGTTCTGACGTCCTAGCGTCAGATTCGGCGAGAGACGGAAGGTCGAAGCGGTAAGGTAGTCGGCGTTAGGGGTATTAGGACCGAGGCTTTATATCGGGTCTGATAGCGCTAGTCGATTCGGGGTCTTTCGCTTCCCCAGTGCCGTCGACGCTGCTAATTCCGGTTCTTTTCCTTTTTCCTACGAAGGATCCGTATTCGATGCCTCAGTTATCGGTCCTGACGGCTCGAGTATCGTATCCATCGATAAAGCGTAGACTAAGAGTTCGTCGTTGGGTGGCAGCGCTCCTTCGCGTCTGGCTCTCTTAATGATCTTTTTGGCAGTCTCCCAGGCTTATCCGATGGCATATAGATCCGTGGCGTTCCAGTAATATAGTGGTTGTTCTATGCTTGGTGCCACGTCTCTATAGAAGGCGTTGAATTCGTCTATTTCCCAGTAGGAGAGCTCGATTAGGTCTTCGAGTACGCCTAGTTCAGCGAGGAGTCGTTTCTTATGTCTAAAGGTTAGGTTCTATAGTAGAAAGACTCGGAATCGTCGTAGGTAGTTAAAATCATTCTTAGTGAATTTCGCTTTTGCTAAAGCCCTTGCGACTATCTAGTAGGAGGCTTGCTCGAATAGGTCCTATTTTGACGAACTCGGGGTCGACATAGAGGTTATTAGTTTCGTCTAGCCCATTGATAGGGACGAAGGTATTAATCTATTGTGTTTATGAATGAAAAGAGTTAAAACTTCCTTCCGGTGCTTCACTTAGTTTCGACGTGGAATATATCGAATGAAGCGTAGGTCGAGTTAAAAGAAGCGTCAACTACTACCATATATTATGGATCCCTTAGCTCTAGTAAGGGATAGAGGTACCGCTAAAAGCGGCAGTGAGATAGCTAACTTTGGCAGCTATCTGGTTGAAGTCATATAATTCATAAAGTATAGAGAGCAAAGAAGGCACAATGTAAGTAATCTAATCTAAGTTGATTCTTCCTAACTAATGGCTGCTGGATTTGACTGTTATAGCGCTAGATCCGTCACGTGGGGAACCCGTATGACTGGGGCATGTAACATAGGCTTTATTAAGGTCACCGCGTTAAATATAATTAGTATAGTCTTATAGTAGCTAATTAATTAGTCCTTAATTCTTTTATAAGTATAGTCGCATATCTTTATACTACTATTTATTATTATTATTTCCTTTATATATTAAGAAATTAAATCCCTCCTTAGCTATCTATTTAATCTTATTATAAGTAGCTAGGACTTATCATTTATATTAGGAGTATATCTTATTATTATATAAGGTTACTTCTATATTGCTATATTTTTTACTTAGGGTATTTTCTTACTCTATTATAGTTCTCTATATAGTAATAATTAGCTATTATTCTATGCTAATAGATCCCTCCTTTATAGGTTTAAATTATAGTTATGCGATACTAATTCCCTTATGCTAATATTCTAAGGTATATTAAAATGTTTTATAGGCTAGGTAAGGTTATATATTAGGGTCTCTAAGTTATACTAGGAAATAGTTATTCTCTTTTTTTTCCCTTAGGTATATAATATAGCGATAATCTCGATATAAGACCTATAAGATTTCTTTATATCTAGGGTATATATGTTACATGCCCCAGTCATACGGGTTCCCCACGTGACGGATCTAGCGCTATAACAGTCAAATCCAGCAGCTATTAGTTAGGAAGAATCAACTTAGATTAGATTACTTACATTATGCCTTCTTTGCTCTCTATACTTTATGAATTATATGACTTTAACCAGATAGCTACCAAAGTCAGCTATCTCACTGCCGCTTTCAGCGGTACCTCTATCCCTTACCAGAGCTAAGGGATCCATAACATATAGTAGCAATTAACGCTTCTTTCAACTCGACCTACGCTTTATTCGACATATTCCACGTCGAAACCAAGTAAAGCACCGGAAGGAAGTTTCAACTCTTTTCATTCACAAACACAACGGATCAATACCTTCGTCCCCATCAATAGGCCAGACAAAACCAACAACCTCTATGTCGACCCCGAGTTCGTCAAAACAAGACCTATTCGAGCAAGCCTCCTACCAGATAGTCGCAAGGGCTTTAGCAAAAGCGAAATTTACCAAGAACGATTTCAACCACCTACGACGATTCCGAGTCTTTCTACTACAAAACCCAACCTTCAGACACAAGAAACGACTCCTCGCTAAACCAGGCGTACTCGAAGACCTAACCGAGCTCTCCTACTGGGAAATAGACGAATTCAACGCCTTCTACAGAGACGTAGCACCAAGCACAGAATAACCACTATATCACTAGAACGCCACGGATCTATACGCCATCGGACAAGCCTAGGAGACTGCCAAAAAGATCATTAAGAGAGCCAGACGCGAAGGAGCGCTACCACCCGACGACGAACTCTCAGTCTACGCTTCATCGACGGATACGACACTCGAGCCATTAGGACCGACAACTAAGGCATCGAATACGGATCCTTCGCAGGAAAAAGGAAAAGAACCGGAACTAGCAGCGTCGACGGCACTAGGGAAGCGAAAGACCCCAAATCGACCAGCGCTATCAGACCCGATATAAAGCCTCGGTCCTAACACCCCTAACGCCGACTACCTCACCGCTTCGACCTTCCGTCTCTCGCCGAATCCGACGCTAAGACGTCAGAACCATCCTCGCGTCCACCAACCAAGCGCGCAAACGGAAGCACCAGAAATTACGGATCCGACAGCTCGACCCCCGGTTCCCAGCATAAACCAGTCAGACCCAACCGCGGGAGGCCATGTACCTCAATTCTAGACAGGAGCCCCAAACCCAGTCAGAACGGGATCGCAAGGATCCCATAGTACGGTAAGGCGAACGCCGGTTCCAGAAGAAACGAGATTAGAAATAGAAGACTCTTACCGGCAATCCCCGACGGCAAGGCGGATAATCGACCTCCTCGAGCGAAACTACGGATTAAAGCTAGAGGATGTGGGACTCGCTGGCGTACAAGCAGGTCCCGATGGAATACAACCCTAAGCCCATCCTCCGCAACCGGCCCAGCATCCGGCCCAATAACCGGCTCAGCACCCAGTCCCGCAGCACTAGATGCCAGAACTAACGAGCAGAATCCAATATTCGGCACCAGCACCGTCGATACCACTATAGTAGAACTCGTCAGGGCAATTCTAAGGATAGAATAGAACACACTCTCAGGCGCAGCATCCGACCCTCCACGCGACGCATCTAACCCAGCCGCCATACGCCCCCTATCCCGCTATAGCCTCGACTCCACCATATTAGGAGCCTCACCGAGGAAATCAACTCCCCCTACGACCGAGTGGGGCAAGATAGCCACGGATAACGGAACCACCAATGGAGCCATTCACGTTATCTACCGCAAGGTTAAACCCAACAGGCCTAGGATACCAGGAATGGGGGAGCATAGGAGGAGGGAAGAACGCTAATATCGGATTTAAACTCACCGACATTAGCCTCTTCTGGCCAGATACACCATCGAGAGGCAAATCCGGAGATCCCCCAGCGGAAATCTTCTACGATAAGACTACGGCAATCTTTATAGACGCTTACTTATAGGTTGACTTAGTTAAATCCCACCTCGAAGGAAGTAGCCCTCAGCAAGTCGCTTTCATCAAGGAAAACGCATAGAGACTCGTCAGAGGCAGCGCATTGGTCTGGTGGCGAAGACTACTCGACGACCGAGAGAGGCAGACCTATATCGCATTAATTAGCGCCTTCCTCGACGCGGTGAAAACCGAATTTGGCATGGAACTTCAAGAAGCTCTAGAATGGCTAGACTAAGCCTATTTCACCCTTAAGGACGTGGAAAGCGACCGACCGCTACGAGATTTCTCCGCAAGAATCTTCGACGTATCTAGAGTGGTGGGAAAGGCCATAGACCTCGAGCTGCTCACCCGCTTTTACGCCAAATTACACCCGGAGCTACGGCAACTCTGCAGGGCACCGGTGGAATCCGACGAACGATCTAAATACGTCAATATGGTGGATAGCAAGAGGAAGACCTTGCGCGAAAAGTTGAAAGCGGCACGTAACGGGAAGACCGGAAACGGAGCGAAGAAGCTCTAATATGGCGAAAAACATGCGTATACTACTAACGAAAGGGACGATGAAGGATCCGAACCCGAGGATTCGGCACTATGGGGCAATGACCGCCCATGGAACAGAGGCTATAGGGACCGAAACCGCCCTCCTCGTAGCTGGAGACCGAGAGAAATCGGCGATAACACCTACGATGATCGACTCCGACCCCAAAGGCCAGATAACCCGAACCGATAAGGAAGAGGGTGGAACCAAAATAGAAACTGGGAACGAGGAGATGACCGAGGCCGCCCTAGCGAATGGAGGGGAAGAACCCCGGAGATGAAATTGGAATAGTGGAAGGAGACTCCGCCATGGGAAGGACAACACCAAGGGAACGAGGACCTCGGCAAAAGAGAGCCCAGATATGACCAACAAAGGCCACGAAATGAGGGCCGGGAAGGACGATATCGGAACCGCGGAGGCTAGAATCGGGATAAGCCTAAAAGAGCATACTACGCCGACGAAGACTCCCTGAGCGAGGAAGGAGCTAGCGAAAGCGATGAGAGCACCGCCTACTACGCCGAAATCATAGAAAGAGAGGAGGATTCTTACCTCGTAACAGAGGCAAAAGAAAGGCGTCATATCAATTTCGCCATTAACGACGGCCAAGTCATCGAAGCAATAAGAAGACCCGACTTCAGTAACCAGTTAGGCGGAAAAGCTTTAACGCATCTCCGGATCCTCCTCACCTTCGAAGGAACAAAAGAAGCCAAGACCTACCAAGTATGCTGCGATACCAGAGCCTCGGCTACCATAGTCAACGAGGCATAGCTCACGGAGCACGGCAAAAAGGTGACCTAGAAGAACCAAGAGCCGAAAACCCTTAGCGGCATAGGGAGAGTTACAAATATCACTAAATCCGCTACCTTCGACTTCTACCTTCCCGGAACCGTACGAGGAAAAGAGGTCAAGGCCCACTTCACCGTTACCGCCGATATCGTCGACCAACTCACGCCCCATTTGCTACTAGGGATAGGCTTCCTATACGAGCACGGAGCCAAAGTCGATTTCGTCTACCCTAGCGTCTCTTTTAGATCGGCGCATAGCATAATCATCCGAGGGGAGATCTTCAAAAAGAGAATCTCGCCGCTTAACCGAGTGGTAAAGAGCGCCTACATAGTCACGGTGAAGAAAGGCGAAACCGCTTTCATCCCGGTCACTTATAAGAACCTGCCGGCGACATACGGATCAGATAGGAGTGAGGAGGCTTTCCACTTCCAAGGGAAGGATAAACGCTTTTTCAATAGCATAATCGACAGAAGCACCCCGAGGATAGTCATCTTCCACAACACCGACGGAAAAGACATTCAGATCCATCGGAGGCAACTCATAGGTCATATTAGTAACTACGAAGGCAACGAAACTGCGAACTTTATCGCTAGTGGGTCCGGAACGGTGGATTTCCTAGGCATAATCGGCAAGGATTTCAGACCAGGGGAGGAAGTCGAGAACGTACTCGCAACCGGCACGCTACCGATAATAACGACCGAATTAGAAGAGACAATCGACAAAGACGACCCAATCCGTATCGATGCCGGACTACCTAATTACGGGATCAGCCGCCCTAAAGGCATTCCCTCGGTATAGAATAGGTTCGGAGTCAAGGTAGCCAACCTCGACGAAAAGAAGGCCGCGAAGTTCATAGAGTTAACGAATAAATACGACATCTATAAGGACAAAGGCGTCGTCCCCATGCCTAAGGAAAAGAAAATAAGAATCGACCTCGTCGACGGATAGCAGAACCAGAAGAGGACCATTAGAGCCTACCTAATGGGGATCGAAGACCGCTGGTTCCTAGACGAAGTCCACGGGAAGCTATACGCAGCGGGAAAAATGCATTACCTAGACGAACTAATACCTATCGCCTGCCCTGCTTTCGTCGTCTAGAGAACCGTAGATGGCAAGAAGAAGGGCAGAGTCGTGGTTGACCTGCGACCCCTAAATAGCATCACGGTGCCCGATATGTACCCACTGCCGGATCAGGAGGACATCGTGGCGGATACGAGAGGGAAGAAGTACTTTTCGATGTTCGACGGGACCGGATTTTTCTATCAGCTGCCTATCTATAATGCGCACCGCAATCGAATGGTGGTTATATCTAACCGTGGGTTGGAAGTTTCTAACGTGGCCCTAATGGGATTTAAGAACTTACTGGCTTTTGGCTAACGGTTCATGGACGGGATGTTCCTCTAATATCGCGCCTTTGTGCGTGTCTATATCGACGATATAGTAGTCTTTTCCGATACTTTCGAGGAGCACCTCGAGCATCTGGAAGTGGTATTAAAGCTACTCGATGAGAATCGGTTGAAGATCGCCGCCGATAAATCCTTTATAGGATATAACGCGGTTAAGCTGCTCGGATACATAGTCGACGGCGACGGGCTACACCGAACTCAAGACCGACTCGATGCTTTCATAAAAATGGTATGCCTAACCGACCTAGCCGCTCTCGAAACCTATATTAGGATAGCCGGATACCTCCGAAAAGGAATTCCATAGTACGACGTGCGAATGCGCCCCTTACTCGATCGGAAGTCGTAGCTACTGCGCGAAGCTAAAGCCGCCTCGAAATTGCCGACCAGAGCGTTAAAACCAGTCCGCAGGTTGAAAGCATCAGCCATCGCATTCACGCCTACGGAGAAGGAACGAAACGCTTTCGACGAGATACAGCAATTCCTAACAGAACAATTCACCCTATGGCACCATAATCCAACAAAACCGCTTTTCTTTAAAATCGACGCGTATAAGAACGGCTTTAGCCTATTCGTCTTTTAGATCGACGGGGAATGGGACAGAAGCTTAATTCCTGGGAAGGATATTCTAAGCGAGAAGCTAAAACCCATCGGGTTCTTCTCGCGCCTAACCTCCGCAGTAGAGGCTAGATACGGATCGATAGAAGCCGAAGTCGCAGCGTTGGCATGGGCAGTACGAAAGATGGGAAAGCTAGTGCAATCAAGCAGGCACCTAGTAAATATTATCACCGACCACGCTGCAACCAAAGGTATTATCACCCATACCTCTCTGAAGACCGTCGATTTCAATAAAGCCAACCCGAAGTTGGTTAAGGCGGCTAACTACCTCTCCCAATTCGAGCTGAGGATATTCTACGTGCCGGGCGTACTCAACGTGATCCTAGACGCACTCTCCCGCCTACCCGTCGAAGACCGACTAGTAAGACGAGCCACCGAAAGCAACTTCGACGAGCTGGACTTCGTGGTGGCTTTAGCAGAAGTAGAAACAATGCAAATTGGGATCACACCGGAGTTTTATTAACAAGTAATCGAGGGCTATAGTAAGGACTCGAAGCTAGGTCGGATACGGGATTATATCAAGGAAATCCAGAACGCGGACCGCTAGAACCGACGACTAAAGACAATACCCTTCCGGCCATGGGAACTCTCCGATGAACTCCTATACCACGTCGGATACGAAGGAAAACAGAGACTCTACATCCCACGACCCTTGGTCAAAAGCATCCTCGAAATCATCCACGACAATAAGCACCACTTCGGAATTAACCGCATAACTTAAGAGTTAAACCCGGTTTACTTCTACCGAATATCGAAAATAATACGCAACTACGTGGCCCACTGCCTAGTATATCACGAGAATTCGATAAGTTAGAAGCCGACTCAGGGGGAACTATAGTCAATTGCGGTAGTACCACGACCTTTCCATACGATCGCCCTTAACTTCATTATAGACCTGCCGGAGGTAACCGCAGCAGGGACAATATGGTTCATCGAAGGGCACGATAAACTCGACTGCCTAGCCCCCGTTAACTGCGTGTTCTCGAAAAGGATAATACTCCTAGCAGGGCATACGTTATATATGGCAGAAGACTGGGCGAAGGTGCTTATCCGGATATTATTCCTACTGGATTGGGGAGTCCCCGTACGGATCATCAGCGATAGGGACCCGAAGTTCATATCCTAGATCTAGAGAGCCGTCTTTAGCTTCCTTAGAGTTAACTTCCTTATATCGGCCGCGTATTACCCCTAGACCGATAGGATCTCAGAAAGAAAGAACCAGACGGTCGAAACTGCGATTCGGTACTATACCGCAACGGATCCAGACACGCCGTGGCCGGCTCTACTCCCATCGCTACAGCACAACCTCAACAACGCAGTATCAAACACCATCGGGAGAGCACTAAACGAACTGATTTATGGGTTCCGCCTACGCGGAATCCTCGACCTCGTAGCTATATCCGGAATCGAGGATAAGGAAGTAGACGCGTAAGCATTGGAGGCGCTGCGTAAGATCTACTATAAGGAGGCGGAATTTCTTATTAATACCTTAGCATCGCTAGCTAAGATTAGGTACGACGCGAAGCATAAGGAAATCAATATCGACGAAGGTGATATAGTCTACCTGCGACTCCATAAGGGCTATCACTTACCAGGGAAACCCAAGAGGAAATAGTTACCCACGAGGGCCGGACCCTATAAGGTCATCCGCAAGATCGGACAGCAGGCATTCAAGCTCGACTTCCCAGAGCACTAGAAAGTCCACCCGGTTATTTCGGTCGCCCATCTATGGAAGCTAGCACAAGGAGAGGACCCATACTAACGAACGATTCCACTACCGGCTCCCATTGCAATCGATAACGAGGAGGTCGCAGACCACTGGGAAGTAGAAAGAATCGTGCAGCAATGAATCCGCTAGAAGAATAAGATGCTATATAAGGACTTACTAGTAAGATGGGTCGGCTTTACGGCCAAAGACGACAACTAGATAGCTGAACCCAAGCTCCGAAACATAGCGAGGAGCATGGTAGAAGTATAGAAGAGAGCGAATCCGGTGGACTAGGGCCTTGAATTTAAAAAGAAAAAGAAAAGTATGCCTAAATCCTTTAAACCGGAGGATAAATAAGGAACGAGCACCGCCTAAAACGGCGATAAACCGGGAGGAATACGCAACCGAAGACCCAGAATACTATTTCATTTATTAACCACTTTTCATATATCTCGCATTTATCAGGGAACACCTTTTTCTAGCGATATTAATACCTCCCTTTCTAAAAACACTAATATTCAGGATAAATCCCGGAATCGAGGGATATCACAGCAGAAGCCCGGAGTTCATTAGACTCCTTTCCAGCAAGTAGGCACGCGAATTCAGCCTCAACACGACGGAATAAACCACGAACACATAGCACGAAACGAGGACAGAACCCAATGCCAAAAACAAGCAAAAACAAGCCGAAATTCACACACGAACACAATCGAATTCACCGCAGGGATCAAAGCATATAAACCCCTACGACCCCGCTAAAATTTCACCCGATCTTCTACCTCGCACCACACCAACACAGACCCCATAGCACAAGCAAGGTCAGAACCAACTAGCCGCCGGCGAACCCACACGCCCGCCGCCAAAACCAACCAAACCGACAAATCACACCCAGCGAAAACAATAGGCCGCCGCTAAACTTATTAATTCACGATAGCGACTCTAGCCATTAACGACGATAGCACTCGCACTAAGGAGAGAATCGGCACTCCCACTGCCGATATAGGCGGAGTCCGCCCCGAATAGGATAAGACCATACAGAGCAATATTAAAGGCGATAATAGCGACGTCACCGACGACAATACGCCTGCTTTCGATAACCTCTTTGATAACGATAATACTAATCCTAGCCGGAAGGATATAGATATTAGCTCGAGCGATAACGATTCCGACCATAAGTCGGACCTCGAGGAGATTAAGCTAGTTCGCCCGCGCAAATTCGGCGGCAGATACCTACTTCCCAGTAGCGCCCCAGGTAGTTCCAGAGGAGCAGCTCACCGCCAATACCAGGAGCATATCGACAAGCTAATAAATAATCGCATCACCGGTAGCAACGATAAGGACGATAGTTTCAGCGGTACCTACGCTAACTATAGATTCGACGGGCCGGTTAGAGGATCCGCCACGAAGAAGGTCTAGACCTAAACGGACGCCCTCTAGTGCCTCCACGTCGAATTCTAGCTATATAGCCCGGAGCACACCGCAGGAGAGCAGCCCGACTTTGACTGCTCCCGGCCCGATAGCGACCATCCGGAGTGGGATCTTTTCCTCCGTGTCGAACGACTGATTAACGAGTACTACGACGGCATAGAAAGCGGCGAACTCGACGAGGAGATAGCCGATGACGACACTCTCGTTGCTAGCAACGGCAAGATTGCGACCCCCGTGACCGGAAAGGGGAAGGAGACTGCCGGAACCAAGCGCGACAAGACCAAGGGTGAATCCAACGTGGTGCGCAAGACTAAGAACCGCGTTCGAGACGCTACAAAGGCCTATATAAATAGTGGATACGGCGAGAGTCGGGGCAATAAGAAGTAGTAGACCGACTATCTACCCGATCAGGCCAAACTCATGCTCCTACATTTCGTCGATCCCTACGGTGCCACCAACGGAACCATCGCCGGACACCTCGCAACCATACAACGCGGCTGGATAATCTAGATCGGGGGACGCCCCGCCACCGGAGCCAGCGGCAAGCAGGCTAGAGTCGACGATAACATGTCCGCAGTCGCCGCGAATGCCGCCGCCACCTCGATCGCCACATCGAAGGAGGTCAACGAAATCAAGGCCAATATGAACAAACTCCGCGATCAGCTGGTCAACAAGGTGCGACAGATAGACGGCGAGCAGAAGCAAATCGTAAAGAAGGTCTCGAAGTTACGACGGGAATCCAACTACTATCACGACGAAATCGGCAACTAGGCGATCCAAATTACCGCCTATAAGGCCACGAAGGATACGGTCGACGAGTATAATAAGAACCTCAAGGAGTTCAACGCCTAGATAGAGAAGATCGTGGTCGCAGAGGTAAAGAAGCAGCTAGCGGTCTAGTAGCCGGCTCTAGCTATCTGTAAGCCGAAGGTAACCCCCGTCTTAGTCGATCCGACCACCGAGAAGCGGGCTAATCCGGCAGTACGAAACCCGGCCGCCCGCAGCAGCACCGCCGCCCGCGGAGGCATCTCGAAGGCCAACGCTTTTCTCCAGCAGGTCGCCAAACCCGCCAAGAAGCGCGCTCCCAGACCCGCTAAGTCCACCGGCAAGACTGGCGCATCCAACGGGGACGAGATTAGCTGGGACTAGAACTTTTTCGACGATGAGTAAAGCGGAGATAGATTGTTTTTAGTGAGGGCCAAGGGAAAGAATAGAAGGATCAGGCAGAAGGATAATTTCGACGGAAGGACAGACGGAAGCATGGAGTTCAGGGAATAACCAGAATATAAATAGGGAGAAAACGGATTTTTGTTTTACTGCTGGACTTAATGAAGGAAGGATAGGAGAGCGTAGATTCGGACTCTGCTGGGACAGCAGAGCTTTTAGGGACCCCGGCACTTATTACATGCCCCAGTCATACGGGTTCCCCACGTGACAGATCTAGCGCTATAACAGTCAAATCCAGCAGCTATTAGTTAGGAAGAATCAACTTAGATTAGATTACTTACATTGTGCCTTCTTTGCTCTCTATACTTTATGAATTATATGACTTCAACCAGATAGCTGCTAAAGTCAGCTATCTCACTGCCGCTTTCAGCGGTACCTCTATCCCTTACCAGAGCTAAGGGATCCATAACAATATATATATTATTTATGTATTATTCCTTAGGTTATATCGAGCTTTAGGTTACCGGGGATTTATAGCGACTTATGCGTAATAAGCTTATATATAGATATTATCCGCATTATTAATATCTTATTTTTCCCTTGCTAACTAGATATACTTATCCTTTTCTTCTTTCTAGTAATATAAGCCTATTTCTTCTTTAATAGTAATTTTATAATCTTTCTCTTATTTAGTTTCTTCGGGGTTGCATCGTAGTCGCTAGGCATATATAGCATCTAGCTTTTATTATGCCTATACTCCTATAGCGTAGTTAGGGTCCTTATAGTGCTAGTTAAGGCGCTTTAGGGGTTCTTTTTATTTATATACCGCGTTATATTCTTAAGATATTTTAACTTAATATTATAGGTAAAGCGTCTTATTATATTGCGTGGGATTGTCTTATTAGTAGTCCCTTTTATAGATAATAGAAGGTATATTAGTGCTGTATATATAATTAATAACTTAATCTTTATAGCTGAATCCTCTTATAGTGGCTTTATTAAAGTCTATTTATTCCTAGGGGGTTAGAGGTAGTAGCATTTAGCTAACTTTTACCTTAGTAGCTTTCTTTTATTATATGACCGTGATAGTTTTTATATTTAGGTCCCTATTAGGCCCGTTAGTTAGTTCTGGTAGTGGCTTCTATCCTAACCTGTCTATGAGGTAGAGCTATCTTATTTTTAAGGGTTTTATTATGGTATGCTATAGTTTTAGCTAGGGATAGTTATTATGCTTAAATTATTCCTTAGTGAGGTATATTTAGTCGTGGGGCATAATAACTTCTCCTAATTCTAGGCCGGTATTATTATACCTGGTCTAGGCTATGCTAAGTATTTTAGTTATATATAAAGCTATCTATAGTTTATTATTAGCTTATATAAATCTTATTTACTTTTTGCCTTTAGGAAGTTATTATTATTATAGCTAGTAATATCTTTCCTTAATATTATATTACTTTTTATAGTAAATCTTCTTAATATAATTTATCTTATAGTAGTATTAGTATTTAAGTCTATAGTAATTATATTTCTTTTATTAGGTTATTTTAAGTTTTATAGGTCTTATATAGGTTTTATAGGATATATTAGTTTATTAGTATTATCTTTAATTAATATTAAATTAAGGTCTCTAATAATTCCCCTTACTATTACGGGGGCTCTAGAGTTTCTTCTAAGAGAACTATTAGTTATTGATCTTAATTACTCGGCTAATATAATTAATAAGGTTATTAGGTCGGTCTTCTTTATAGAGTTCGGCTTATATATCTTTCTTAAGTCTATTAAAGAAGAGTAATATAAGTAATTACTAATTTTATCTTAGCTTTAAGGCGAGTTAGAGATACTTTATGCTATATTCTAAGGTAAATTAAGTTTAATTAAGTGCCTTAATTTCTCGTTCCGCTTATGCCTTCTCGTTAATAGTTCTAAAGGCCTACTATAGGGCGGCTTTGAATTTAATATAGTCGGCATAGAGTTCGCGGGTATAGAAGGAGAGTTAGGCGAAAGGAGTATTAAGGTATTCCTTTATGCTAGGTTTAAATTATATAGTAGTATGCTTAATAAGTCATCTTATAGTATATTAGATATAGCTAGACTCCTATTTAAACTAAGTTAAGTAGTATACTATAAAAGCGCGTAACTATATAAGGAAGGTAAGTAATTTATATACGGTATTATTAAACTTCTCTAGTAGTTCTAGCTTTAGGATTTCTCTAATATCCTTGCCCTTTATAGCTATAATAGCTATATTATTAATAAGCTAGATATTATCTTAGTATTATTAGTTTTAGACTTCCTAATTAGCGGCTATGCGATTAATAAGTCCCCTGAGCTTATCTATTTTAGTGGTTATTGCTATGACCTAAGCTTAGAGCTATTTAATTTCTTTATCGTCGTTATTTATTTCTTCGTTACTATTAGGATTAGCCTAAGCTAATACGATAAGAATAGGTAGATAATTAGTAGGTAGGACCTGCTAGTGGTTAGTACTAGGAGTAGCCTAAGTAGCTATTATATTTGATATTATTTAAGGTAACGCGAGTAATTTAATAAATAAGAGTTATTAATATATAATAAGAGGGTAATTCCTAAGGGATAAACCGGTTATATTAGTTTATATTAATACTAGATTATATTATATAGCCTTAAAGGGTAATATAATATTATATCTAGTAATATACTTAAAGGTATTAAGTATAACTAAGTTATATTAATAGCTAAGGTAATTAATATATAAGAAAGTATAATAAGTATATTCTATATATTATTTAATCTTCTAAGTTAAATATAGTTGAGTTAAGTCGAGTCGTCGGTATTTAATTTATATCATCGAGAGAAATTAAATTAATTTTATTTAACTTATATACTTTCCTTCCTTATGATTAGCTACCGTAGTGGGGTCGGTTTCTTACCTAGCGTTACCGCCTTCGACTATATTATAGCCGTGATAATTAAGTCCTTGCTTTTATTAAGGTAGAGTGGCTCAGATATAAAGGCCTTCTCTTCCTTTTTTTTTTATATACCTCGATTATGGCTTTGAGAAGTTGTCCTCTTGATTGAGGAGCGGAGAGCTGTTTCGTAATATTAGCCGCTATCCTTAAAGGATCGGAGTATCTAAGTCGGCTGGGGCCTGGTTCTGTCGGAATGCCTCTAGAGCGTCCTTAATAATAATAGATTTGTGATTTTATAATTAGATTAGAAGTTATTATGTTGCTCTTTATATATGTTAGTTTGCTCTTGCTAGACCCTAGAATCCTATAAAGCCATAGAATAGAGGAAATGCTTTTGTTTTTCTAATGTAAAAAAGTTAGGTCGCGTAGAAGCTACTTCCCTATGCCCTTTAAGACCTTAATTTTCGCCTATATATAGTGTTTTTTATAAGGCTTATCTGAGATCTAATGCAGAATCTTATTTCTTTGTTCCCCTAGATGAGTTAGTAGTAGCGATTATTCTGGACCGGAGACTTAATAGAGTTGATCTGTGATATCGTGTAGTGCTTTATTCTAGCGCTTTACGCAGGTATTAAAGTCCTTTACTATCCGCTTAAGCTCGGCATGGCTTTCTAGCTAGTCTTTATAGTATAAGCATAACACTTTATTGATGTAAATAGTTACTAACCTTGTAAGCCGAAGTTAGGGGCATAATAGTCCACATATATCTGGGCTTTATTAATAGCGATTAACTCCAAGTTAGACGAGGCAAGGACTCCATGTTTAATAATACGCTTTGACCTGGTTAGCAACTATATGACGAGTATGCGCCAACTCACCGAAACTGTTCTGCCCGTAGTATAACCTTGCTATGGCGAGATAGGTCAGGATGCTTCCGTATAACTTGACTAACGCATAGCTCAGCTCTTCTGCGGTTTGCGACCGGAACCATATAGTGGTCGAGGGAGATGCGCATGTTTGAACACGAAATACCCAGCAGACGAGCGGGGCGCGGTGCACACAAGGTGACCGGTCAGGGTGTCAGTGGCATACTGGTGCAGAGGGGGTGGTTCAGATCCCAATCACATTGAGCATCCGTATACGCTAGCACTCGTTCAGTCGCCTGGCATTTCAGCGACGCTGATCACCTTGCTATGCTTTCTTTTGCATAGCCACCTTCACACAAACCTACGCCAATAATACTCGCAGATTCAAGCGTTGACAGAAGTTGTGCTGTTCCAAGGATTTGATTGGTGTTGGCGTGAATATCCACGGCACGGCCCGCGTCTAGATTCGGACACTAAGCGCTTGGAGCAGGCCCGTCAGCGGTTTCAAGGCTCTCTTTCCTCCCCGGAGTTCTCGCGCCCCGGTTTATCCCAGCTCTGGCTTCTTCAAACGCGACTGGTCCCTGTCCGTGACAGCTCCTGAAGTTCGCGGAAGACTCATCCAGTCAATCGCCTCGGTCAAGCGCCCTGCGACCCTTCCGAGTCGGCCTTTTAGACCACCCGCAGACACCTTGATTTTATCACAGACGAGGCTTCCGACAAACCCATGGCTACCCGGTCTCAACGGCTGCCCTACGCCTGTTCCCATCTGCAGATAGCAAACCAGGGAACGGTCTCTCCCCCGTCTTCTCTCCCTTTCCACAGTCTAATCCTCGCAACTCATCATCTCGCCCAAGATTGTGATCTTGCCTTTGTGCCGGCAACTCTCACCACGATGTGCTCACCTTGAAAGCCGTTCGCGCAATTGCCCGCTCGGCTCGTCAGATTTGCTCGTCGTTGTAACACTGTCAGACCTCGCATAGAGGCCAATCAAGCCGTGTCTTTACCAGCGGAGCCGCCGGGCGAGCGGTTGCTTATATCCGTAACCCATTGTCGGGTGGCCTGAGAAGGCTGAGGCGTTATGCAGTATTACAATGCGTTGGATATGTAATTTGCTATATGTAATAGCAGAGGTTATTTATTTAGTTCAGTCAATACCTCACACGGGGACGACAGGGATACCCCGCCCACCAGTTCTTCTCGAGGACGTCCACCATAAGGAGCTCCATAG